GCACCAGGGGGGTGGATTGGTACTCGAGTAGTGGCCGTCGACAGTCGGCTGGTCGGTGTCGTTGATACTTGTGACATCTCTTCAATTCGATTCAGTATTCGAATAAGAGTGCGGTGTCTCATGTATGCGATGAACTCGGGATTGCGCATGTTGTATGATAAGGAACTTGGTTGTTGGCGAGCGGGTTATCAACGATGATTGTGAGATGGCACGATGAGAGGAGCTTTTGACAACTTCAACATGAATGTGCTATTGTATATACTATAAGAGCTAGACATCTCCGGTAGCCTTCGTTCTGGTGATTGCGGCATACCAAGGTTCGGCCGGAAGGTTATCCAGATTTACAAAAATGATCGTGGGATATGATCGAGACGAACGGAGATAGCATACCTGCAACATGAGGTTCCGATATACATAGCCCAGCGACCAATGAAGGCACCCAGAACATGGTATAAGCCTTAATTATTGTTGGAAGACATCTTGAACCCAGACTGGATGACCCGTCTGGCTGTCGAAACCAACCCTTTGGTTCCACCCGGATAAGCGTGGCTTCAGTATTCTGCTGGCGGCTTTCTACAAAATAGGTAATTTTGACTAAATTTCTTCACTGGGACAAAGTCACAGGGAATCTTCTTATTGCAAGCTTACTTAATGTCGGATAGGAGAGCCGTGACGAATGAAAGAACAATGATTCTTCTGCGGGCGGTAGGTCTATGGGTCCAGAGATTGTCGTATGCAGGAACCAGCGGACCGTGCCGCGTCGCAGCAAGCCATGAGATGGCAAATTGAGCAAGCGGTATAATGAAATTCGAACGTCCTTGCTGTGTTACACTTCTCCAGCTGCTAGGTGGCCGTGATATATTTCTCCAGCCTAGTTGAATATCTCAACCAACAATCACTCTTCCATCACCACGTGAGAACATCGTTTCAGCGATTTGAACTTAGCCGACAGGGATTATGATTTCAGAACCACGTTCACCTTATGCAAGCTTCTAGACAAGACCAATGTGTTCTCCATATCGCTGGAATCTTGGACGACTTTGCATGTTCCCTAGACACGGCTCTTACACTGGAGATGGCCACTTGGCAAAGACGCTCAGACTGGAGGCACAACAGCCCGACAGCAAAGTATAATTACCAAGAAATAAAGGAGACGAGAGAAAGGAGATACGGGTAAACCGCGACAGCAAGGTTTCTGCAACTTGGATGCTCCCTAACACGTGCGGCGGTTAACCACCTCAAAGGTTCAAGGTGCGGAATCGGAGAAAATGCGGTGAGGTCGGTGAGGTGACGGAGTGTCACGGACTGGGTCCGATAGGCACACTAATTACGGCCTAGACCTCGACCAAATACGGCAACCCTGGCAAATATTGAATCGCGAAAGTAACTCCCTTGCAAGAAATGGTAGCAGGATACTCCGAAACCTTTAGTAACCCCAACAGCGTTCGGAATGCATTTTCAGGGCTGTTTTTGAAGACTCTCCACTGGCGTGTTTCTGATAGTTTGGACGATCAGGGTCCATCCATCCACACGGATCCAGAAGCGTACACTAAATTAGCATCTCACACGTCCCTTTTCTCTCTCTTCGGGCCCTTCAAACTGGCAGAAATTTCGTTCTTCCGTTATCCCGTGGTGGTCATATCGATAGACGACATGAATCAGTGTAGGTCTGAGGATTCCCATCTCCTGCCAATCATTAAGAAATCGCCTCATGTATCTCGAGTATCAGTACCAGAAGATAGGAGACGCTCTCTCTGTGCCATGTACAGTGCATGGCACTTGACTGCAGACTGCCGGGAGCGGATGGGTCGGGCGGGACCCAACACGATGTGATGTGTCGTCGGACCTCGGGCTGATGACAACCAAGGAATTATCCGAATTGCATGGCAGGCTGCTTCGTGTTTGAAGCCTTCCGTTGTCCACGTTGCCAAACAATGCACCCAAGACATGCAGTGCTCTCTACCGAGCCGTGGACGGGTGAGATAGTGTGACCGGGAGTGGTTGGAAGTCAACTTTGGCTCAGTGGGGGACGCACCGTTTTCAGGTTTACGCAAGCCCAACTCACAACTCGCATGCGTCTGTAAGTCAGACGAGTTAAGGCGAACGAAGCTAAACGGTTGTTTCTGAGGCTGAGAAGAGTAGGTTTTGCCTCGAGACGGGAAGCAGTTCGGCCGTCAAGGGACCGATGAGCTGTTCTTTGCAGTGCATGTGCCAGCGAAGGAGAATGGTAACCCGTCGCCATGTGCGCGGTACTTGTTGATTCCACTGCTGACAGACAACGGTCGGGCGCCTAGGATGACTCGTTCAGAGGGTTCAGCACCCTTGCAACCTCCTGCAGATTGCATTGCAGGATGCTGGGGATGGCTTCCAGGGGGTCTACTGGCCTTTGCCATTCTTGTCGACTCGTACAAGCAGTGAGGACGGCATTGGGGGTGATTGGCATGTCAACGATGGTTCGCGTGGACATCCCCGGATTATCGATTATCGTGAGGGAACCATTGGTGTCATCCATCGGGATGTTTATTAGTGGCGTCCAAGCACTGCCTTACAGACACAGACAACCTAAGCCGATTAGTTCAACGGGCAAGTATCAACCTAGCACAACGGGTGTGGTATTGGTCGGGGGCTGTGAAAGTGGCAGTGGCACCTTGATAGGCCCGGTATCTTGTCGTCGGTATCGCTATCGCCAGAATTGTCGGCATCATCTCCAAAGCTGACGGAGAAGTCGCCATGGCATGGCATGCCATGAAAAGTAGGTCATGAAGTGGAAATACCACCATAGTGGAGAGGGCTGATTGCGTGATGTTTGATGTTCGAACAGTGATGGCGCATAAACCAATGGCAAGTGAGGGCGGCAAACTCTGGGCCGGAGCGAGTATATTACGGCTGAAGCTGAGCCTCATGTCGTTATCCGCTCGCATCGCGGGGTTCCCAAGCGCTTGGCCGGCCTGATCGTCAACGGCTCGCTGAAAGAGATTCGTAAGAAGCGGCTCTGCTGACAGGCCGGCGCCGTTAGGACCGGGTCAAGGTCAAGTGATGCAGCTGCCTGGAATTAGTGGTCGGTGTTCAAGGTGAAAGCTAGTAATTGATTCGAGTTTGAGTGAGACGCGGCTTAGGCAGTGATGAGGCAGCCGACCTAGATGAGTGGACAGCGAAGGCTAAACACTGCCGACCTGGCAATACCCTCACTTCTCACATCGTACGGATATTCGTACACCAGCAAGGCATTAGCTGCGAGTTGCGTGCTCGTGGAGTTTGGCCCCCAACGAGCCGTCCCCCGTGCCGTGGACTACCCACCGTGCTTGTCCTTACTGCACGGTACTCGGGGAACACGGCCGACTGTGTTGGAGGCCCATCTTGGCAGGGTTCTCCCCTATCGGCAAGGTCGGCTTACAAGTAAGTGTTGGGATGTTTGTTCGGTGGATGCCACTGGCGGTGGATCGTCGAGGCAAACGTCTGTAAGAACTAGAAGTCTGACCGGGCTGCAGGTAGTGCAGAGCCATGGTTGGAAAGATATTCTATATGTAATTGGCACGACATGGCGCCGGATCCGAGTATCGGAGGAGACATGCAGCAGAACAAAGAGAAGAAGGTAAAGAGGGTGAAGAAGTGACAATCGACAGCGGCAGAACTAGGGTATGCGTGTCTCGTCTTTCGGATGAAGGGGAAGGCCGGAGAGAAGAGCGAAGGAACGAAAAGCAGAGGTTCGCGCCTCCAGCCTGTTCTTCCTGTTCTGGGCGGATAAGCGACCCGGTTAAGGGTCCTTCCTTATCAGCAGAAGATGCTGTATCGGCCAATCGTTAACCCCACACTTAGCGTCTTGGGCTGGATCCCGAACGCCATTAGCTCGACTCGCCCGCTAAAGGCCGCTGACTGGGACCTGAGTTAGGTGCCTTATCGCTAGCGTCTTACCTCACGAGTGCATGATAAGGCCGGCAAGCCATGTACCTGCCGGATAACGAAACATGATGTATCGAGCTGGTCAAGTGTATTCTTTTCTCACCCAAACACCACCAAAAATACATCCAACTTATCACCTTGTTCACTCACCCTCTTCCACCGCCAGAACCTAACGGACGAGACCACGCGGCGCATGTGAGGACGGGACCACTTTATCGACCCCGGAATTCGACCGTTCAACTGCAACCTCTCGACGCCAAGAGAGACAGACCCCTGCCCCGCTCTCGCAGCCTGCCGCCTTCATCCCGTCCACGTCCAGTGTCTTCACAGTTCGCCAACCTGAACAACACCTCAAAGACTCTGCTGCTCCGTACAGATACGGAGTGAGGGACATGGGCCATGTTCCTGGACATTACCGAACGGGCCTGGAAGCACAAGCAGCCTCTCTCCTCTCCCCACCCTCCACTTCCCATGTCGTCGTCTGCCCCCGACAACGCCGCCGCCGCCGCCGCCTCCCCGGACTGCTTGACGCGGACCTGCCGCGCCCCTCGAGGACAATGGGCTTGATCAGACACTCAGAGAGGCAAATCGTCTTTCGCCCACTCGACGCCTGTTCACTGCCTTGATGCGGTGAATCCCCACCCCGTGGCCCTCGGCGTGGCCCCTGTCATGCGGCATTCTTAACTCGACTCGCGCTTGTCAGATCGTCCAGTCCTTCTCGCGAGGCTGCGACTCCGAGTCCAGGTGAGCCCTCCTTGTTCTCCCCGACCACCCCCTTTCACCCCAATCCGTCTTCCTACTTATATGCTCGACCTCTCGTCATCCACGACTCGCGTTCGACTGTGTTCCTGGAGATACCCTCCATATCCTTTCTCTCTCGTTTCCATTCCTGAATCGCCCGTCTGTGCTCTTCCACTGAGCTACTCTCTTCTCCATTTCTTCATAACCCTCCACGTTGCTGACCCGTTCGCCTCAGTCTACTTATCTGCCTCTTTAAATAAGCACCGCCGATTTTCATCTCTTCCTGACTTCTTCTCCACGTTTTGCGACCAATTGGCCTCCTTTGCTGCTAGAGTCCACGCACTCGACCTCCCGCCAACATGCACGGATACAGTTCCTCCGAGGAGTCGGAAGACTACCGCCGTCCAAAACCGGTGCCGGCATCAACGACCACCACTGACAAGAAGACCAAGAAAAAGAAGAAGACACCGCCTCAGCAGTCCATCAACCGTATCTGGAAGCAATTCCAGAACCGCAAGTTCAATAAGGCGCTCGCCGTACTTCCTTTCGACCCTGTCCTACCCCCGGCAAGCGCCGACAAGCCGAACGAGCTTCTGACCGCCGGATACGAGCGTGCTGCCGAGGAATGCCGCCGCAAAGTAAAGAAGATCGTACAAGAGTGCCGGAGAGTGAACATGCGATACCGTGACCCTGGATGGGATTTGGTGAGTGTCAAAGAACGAACGCCTTAAACACAGCCGGTAGCTGACAAGCCAAGGATTGGGATTTGAAGTGGGAAAAAGGTCACTGCTTGAACACCCTCGGCGCCACCAAGTGGCAGCTCTCCCGAACGACCCTCTCCAATCCCAGCGCCTCCGTCCCCAAGGCCGTGAAGCGCGTCCACGAGATTTTCGAAAAGCCCACATTCATGAAGAACCTCGACGGTTGCGATGTCAAACAAGGCAGCCTCGGTGACTGCTGGTTAATGGCCAGTCTGACCGCCCTCGCTAACGTCGAGGGTGGAATGAAGCGCATCTGCGTCGAGTACGATACCCGCATCGGCATTTACGGCTTCGTCTTCTACCGAGACGGAGAATGGATTTACTCCATCATCGACGACAAGCTGTACCTCAAGTCACCCTGCTGGGACTCGCCCAGCATGCAGCGAGATCTCCTGCAGCAGATCGACCGGGAAGACGTCGAGCGCGTATACCGCAAAACGTATCAAACAGGTTCCAAGGCCCTCTTTTTCGCCCAATGCAAAGACCAAAACGAGACATGGGTGCCCCTGCTGGAGAAAGCCTACGCAAAGGCGCATGGAGACTACGCTTCTCTTTCTGGTGGTTGGATCGGCGAGGGATTGGAAGATCTCTCCGGCGGTGTCACCACCGAGCTGCTTACCTCCGACATCCTCGACACGGAGGGGTTCTGGGAGAACGAGCTCTCCAAGGTCAACGAGGAGTTTCTCTTCGGTTGCTCTACTGGTCTCCTCGACGGGGGCTACGGCGAAAGAGACGGTATCTCCGAGGGCCACGCATACGTTATCATGGAGGCTCGAACCCTCAAGTCTGGCGAGCGTCTGATCAAGCTGAGGTAAGATATTCGCCCGCCCAATTGCACGAATTCAGGAACTATGTGATTGACCAATTGGTACAGAAACCCTTGGGGCAAGGTTCGCAAAGGCTTGTGGGAGGGTGCTTGGTCTGACGGATCCAAGGAGTGGACCCCTGAAGTGACCGAAGAACTCGGCCACCATTTCGGCAACGACTCTGTTTTCTGGATCAACTACGAGGACTTCCTCAGCAAATATCAGCACATCGACAGGACCCGCCTTTTCCGAGACCCTTCTTGGCGATGCACTCAGCGATGGATCGGCGTCGAAGTTCCCTGGAAGAGTCACTTCAACGAGAAGTTCCAAGTCAAGCTGTCCAAAGACGGACCGCTCGTCTTAGTTCTTTCTCAGCTCGATACCAGATATTTCAAAGGACTCCAAGGGCAGTACACCTTCCGCATTCACTTCCGCATCCATGAGCGCAGTCGTCCCGGTGCCGAAGACTACATTGTTCGCTCTCATGGCAACTATCTCATGGAACGATCTGTAGCCATTGAGCTCCCCGACATGCCTGCGGGCGAGTACAGCATCTTCTTGAGCGTCACCGGCGAAAGAGACAACAGTCTGCCTTCAGTGGAAGACGTTGTCAAACGCGAATGCCGGTCGCGCGTGGAAAACGAGAAGCTCGTCCAAATCGGCGCAGCTTATGACCTCGCGCACAGCAAAGGCACAGCTCATCTCGAAGAGGTCGCCAGGCTACGAAAGCTCAAGGAGCAACAGAGAGCCTCGGACTCCCGTAGGCAAGAGCGCCGCAAGCTCTGGGAGAGACGCCATCTGAACCGAGAAATTTCTAAGAAGCAAACCAAGAAGAACACCGATAAGCGCGACCGCAGAATCGCAAAGGCCGAGGCCGAGGCCAGGGCCGCTCAGGCAGCTCAGAAGGCCGAGGCTGAAGCCAAGATGAAGGCTGAGGCAGAAGCCATGGCCGCTGAGGTAGCTCAGAAGGCACGCGAAACCACCAAGGGCAACGAGGAAGACGAGAAAAAGAAGCAAGACGAGGCAGCGAAAAAGGAAGACGAAGATTCCAAGAATGAAGTCGTCCAGACCGAGGCCGCTAAGGAGGAGCCCAAGGAGGACCCCAAGGAGGACAAGTCAGACGACAAGGCGACCGGTTCCTCCGATGCAAAAGATGACTCTGCAGTCGAGACCAAGACTCCAGACGAGCAGTCCAAGACCGACCATCAGGATGGTTCCAAGAACGACTCGAAACAGGAGTCCAAGGATGAAGCCGAACAAGATGCCAACATCGACACCAATGGCGAGACAAAGGCCGACGACGAGAAGGAGGAGGATACCACGGAGGCTCAAAACTCAGAAACGGTTGAGGAAACCGCCGTCCAACCTGCGCCTCCCCCGCAACCAGCACCAGTGTACGACGACGTCGACGATTCTTCGGATTCGCCAATTGAGGATTGGGAAGAGCTTTACAGTGATGATGACATGGTTCGTAAGCCACGTCTTACTCCTGCAGGCCCTCCCAAGACTCATGATGAACGCTACGAATCTGAAGAAGAGGGCCTGCCAGACCCCTGGAATGCAATTTGCATCGTTGGCGTTCGCATATACTCTCAGGACGATGATCTCGAGCTTCGGGTTGTCATGGAGGGAGGCGAGCTACTCGAAGGCGGCATGGGAAAGAAAGGCGAGGCCGACCTTGACAATGCCCAGGTCAACGCTGGTGGTGAGCGAGAGAAGAAAGACGTCGAAGAGAAGTCTGATGAGACAATTGAGCCTGTCAAGGTCAACGACGACAATATTGAGAAGAAGGACGAAGTGAAAGAGACGGCCGTGGCGACGAAATACGAACCGACCGACGCAAGCAAGGAGTCAAGCGAAGATTCCAAGTCGGACAAGAGCGTCGACTCGACCGAGTATGACAAGTTAGACTCCGGTGCCACCACTCCAGAAGTCATCACACCAGAGCCGACACCTCTTGAGACGAACAGAGAGTTGTGCTAGATGAGCATTAGAATGCACCGACTGATGACGTAAATGACGGTAGACGATATAGTAGAGGAGATGACGCCCTGTTGATGTATGGTTTTGCTTTGAGGCGTTGGAGCTGTAGTTGTTGTTGGACTCGAGACCGATGAGTTGCATTCAAATGATAGATCGCGCCACATCTTGATCAATCCTGTCGAATTATTTAAATAGGGTCATTAGGTACACGATAGGGACCCAGTCATGTCCGCTCTGTTAAGCTGGCCTCGCTATAGATGGCAATGCATAGTTCACATCTTAACAAAACCGAAATATTTCTCACAAGCCTCCTCAAATCTGTCCATTGCCAACGACATGGTTAACAGCAATGAAGCCATGCGTCATTGCCGGTCCCAACGTCGACCCTGCCCCCAAGTACGTCCGTCCCATGATACTCGCAGCCGTATTTCCAATAGCATACAGTCCAGGTATGAACCCGCCATCGTTCTTCAGCACCCTCTGATGTTCATCCGTCAGCAGTCCTCCCTTCGTGCCCAGGTCTCCGGGCCAGACCTCGATAGCGTAGAAAGGCGCCCTATTCAAAGGGCCCATATTTGGATTTACACCTCCAGCATGAGGGTCTCCGAAGAAGTTGTCGTACGCATTACCTCCCTTCCCGAACTCTTCGTCAACGCCGCTCTTGCACATCTCATTGTACCTCTGTACCGTGCCCTCCAACCCCTTCACGTCGACTCCTATCTTGGCGGCCAGAGCCCCCACTGACTCGGCAGCAAATATCTTTCCCTCCTCAATCGCTCTCCTTGGGATCTGTCGGGCGAAGAGGCTGGTGCCGAGCATATACCGGTTCCGATGATTGCTGTCCATTATCAACCACGCAGGAAGAGCCTTGACCACCTTGTTTCGCTCGTACTGATCGTGTCCGGCGTCGGTATACGACTGTGCTTCGTTCATGAAGCGTTTGCCGGCGGAATCAACAATGATACAATGCGGGCGACAGCGTTCCATCAACGCGAAGTGAGGTTTTCCCGTGACGACGTCGAATATGGTCGGACCCCACCACGCATCGTCCATGAGTGCCGTCGCTGCGCCGAGCTTGACACCAGCAAGCACCGCATCGCCCGTGTCTCCTTTCGGGGAGAGGGTCCAGGCTGTGCTGGCCGGCGAGGGGAGGTGTTTCTCCCTCAGAGCGCGGTTGTGTGCGAAGCCGCCTGCTGCGAGGATCACGCCTCGCGATGCGATGATGCTGTGTTCCCCAGAAGGTGTTTCTACTTTTGCGCCAGTCACTCTGCCGGAGGGTGAAGTTGTGAGGGAGTCGAGAGACGTGGACAGGCGGATGTCAGTGGGAAGAGAGTCCTTGGTATTGAGGTATAGCAGTTGAGCGACTAGACCGTGGCCCATTGATGTTGGTTTCTGGCCTAAGATCATCTTGATGATGAGCGGGATGACTGCTCGGGTTGATCGAGCAAAGGCTTGCAGCGAGGATGACATGCGGGTGATCACCGCTGCGTCGTTCGTGTAGAAGGCCACAGGCGAGTTCGGAGGTGGTAGAGCATCTTGCCATTTTTTGCTGAGCTTCTTCTTGTTGAACACCTCCGTCTCAATCGTTCTTCCTCCACCTTTGCCCATGGCGCCTTTCATGCGTGGGTAGTAGTCCGGATAGCCCTTGCTGAAGTGGAATCTGAAGCCTTGGTCTTGGAGAAACCTGATCATCTCAAGGCCGTTATCGACGTATGCACGTCGGCGAACCATCGACGAAGCTGGCCCTGCATCCCCGACAGCTTCATCAAAATAGGCCAGAGCATCTTCCTTGGAGTCTTTGACGTTAGAAATGGGGTTGCAGGGAATCCAAAGACCGCCTCCTGAGATGGCTGAGGCGCCGCCTACGGTGGGTTGCTTCTCGATGACGGCGACACGTAGATTTTGGGATCTGGCGCGGAGAGCGGCCGTCAGAGCGCCGGCTCCGCTGCCTACGATTAGGATGTCGACATGTTCGCTGGAGCTTGGTGGAGGGTGGTACGTGGAGGAGCGCCGGTGAGCTTTCTGAGTTGCTGGATATCGCGAGTGGCGGAGGACTCCCACGCCCCTGAGCACCAGACCTCTGCGCAACATACTGGCTTGGTTGAATCCGAAAAACAAGAGAAGATTGAATCTAAGGATTGCATGGTTAGGAGGGGCCTTTGGAATGTTCGGCTACGTCTATTTGAATCTTATCAGCTTGGCATCTGGCCTGTGATTCTTCGCTCCAGATAAGTGCTATACATCCTGGCATCCCTTGGCGATGGCGAAGTGATAGATCCTACAGACTTCACGAGGACAACAATGGATGATTTCCATTGGTTTTAGTAAAGTAACTTCGGTGTGAATTCCTTCACACAATCAAGCTAGGGGGCTGATACCGGGGTGTCGGGACGAACGATGTCTAGGGCCACATGTCGTCGGAAGAGTTTCTTGAGAGGTAGCTCGAATGATTGGGTTTGAATGACGGACTCTCGGGGGCCTAACTTGATGAAGTCGAGTGTTAAATGGCGGATGGCCGGGATCATGGTAGCATGGTGTTGAGCTTCCATAGCGTTAGCGGGCGAAGCGTGGTCTGCTCCGCGGAATCCACGCTCTCCATGAAGGTATCTTGGCAACTACCGATACGCTACAACCTTAACGTCCTCAACTTTTGATTTCACCGGAAAGACGGGCTGGTGATGATACCGACATTAGTGATCGCAGTGTGAGCTGGACCTGGCCTGTCTTGCGTCATGTGAATGGCCTGGAACCTATGTGTCGAGCTCTTTAGTGAACGACAAGATGGTCAAGATACCAGGGTCACGTAACGCCACGATACTCGAACGATATTATGCGAGAGAACATGGGTCAATTAGTGGGACGTGGTCTTCGTCAATGCTTTTCTACAGCAAGTTCATAGGGTGAATGATAGTGAGTCTTGCATCTGAAGTAAGGGTGTTTTCACAATCTTGCCTGGACCTGGCTACTGATAAAGAAAGACTTGACGAAGATCAGACTTCAGAGATTCTTCCAACGACATCCAACATACCACGTCCAACACCACGCATGCCAGATCACACGGGAACCTGCACATCCACGAATGAATCCTCCGTCTCCGTACGCTGCTCTGCGCCCAGAGTTTCCATGCCTTCCAGAGCCGCTGGATCATGCTCTGTTGCGAACTTGCGTATTTCAGCAAGTATAGCCGAAGACGTGCTTGGGCGGACCTTCTTTAGGGCTTCCCTGAATAGAGCCTGCGTCAACAGCCTCTTTCCCTTGTTATCGCCGTCTGCCACAGTGGTGTTGCACGCTATGACGGCTTGGAGACAGAGTGTGCGGATGTCTTCCCCCGAGAAGCGCCATGTGAAGTGTGATAAGTGAAGGTGACTGATATCTGAATGGAGAATTTCGCCTCGCAGCATGATGCGGAAGTGTTCTGTCCTCACTTGTGAGGATGGGAGTCCCATGTGGATGCGATTAGGAGCGCGGCGAAGGAGACCTGGGTGAACTGCGCCAGGTGAGTTGGTCGACAGGATGATCAAAGGCCCATCTTTAGACTTGCATGCTCGGTCTATCTCGGCCAGCGTTTCTCGATACTCAAACTCATGGTTCTTGTCGTCTGACGCAAGCAGCAACTCTGCGTTGTCAATGAAGATGATGCATGGGGCTAGCAATCTTCCCAGGTTGAAGAGCCCGCTCACGTCTGTTGGATCCCCATCGCCAAAACGGATGAGAATGACATTGGACCCAGACTCTCGGGCTAAGACTTGAGCGAGATGCGACTTTCCGGTCCCGGGAGGGCCGTACAGCAGTACGCCCCCGACATGGTAGCGTTGCAAGACCCCATAGGACGATGATGATGCCGCAGCGGCGTTGTGCCTAGATACGATGCTCTTGACGGCGTCTTCGACTTTCGAATCCATCGCAATATCGCTCCAGCCAAGCTCTGCATCTTTGGGAGCGACCAGAAAAGACAGCCACTGTCGCTCGCGACCATGGATATACCATGGACCGCTCAGTCGTTGCTCTCGACGGAGGACCTGGCGAATGACCTTTTGTACGGCAGGCGAAAACTTTCTCCATTCCTTAGCGAGGGGCTTCTCGATTAAGTAGTCGACGTCGGTGCGGGGGTCCAGTTGAAGTCTAGGGGCAGAGGGAGGAGTTGGGCGAGAGGTAAGATTGCTTCCTCCATTCGCATTTCCAGCGGGAGGTTGTGCCTGTACTGGTGCATGTGTAGGCAAAGAAGCCGACTTGAGAGGCGTGTCTTTCGTGTGAAAGTCCTTCCATGACCGGATGTTGTCCAGATATTCAGCGTAGCCCAAAACGGCGCGCCTAATTCGATCCTCGCTGAGCGGTTGGCCGATGTTTTGGAGCAGCCCCCTTAGAAGGTCGTATCTGACCGAGGTTTTCGCGAACAATCCATTTGAAGCACCGTAGAAGTGCCATTTGTCATGTGGAACCAATAAATGGCTGTCCAAATCGAGCGAGTTGTCCCGACGCATCATCCTCTGCAAAGCCCTGATGTTACGAGACAGCAGTTCGAGTTTGCCATCCTTTTTTATCAAGGCTTCCTGCCTGGTGCATCGAATAGGTGTCACTTCCATGAAACGTGCGAACGCAGTGGGAAGCTGCTCGCGAGAGGGTCGAGGTACGCCTGGCTCGTACGTGGGGTTACACGGGCCGGACTCCGTAGTGACGATGAGAAGAATCTTGTCTGGGTAGGGAAAGTCGGATATCGCTCGTCGCAAGTCCGCCAAGAGTGATGGCTGGAGGAAATTGCGGCCTATGAACAGATGAACGATGAGGGGTTGGATCCGAGTAATGGTCGCCTTCTTCGCGTATGGAGCACGCAGAAGTACAGACAGAGGAATGATTTCCTGGAGAAACCAGCCGTTAGCAGGAGTCACTACAAAGTGGGAGTGACCTAGACGTACTTCATGGGAAGCCACACTCTGCGTGTCCTCTTCTTCCAATTCAGAACGATCAGAAGCCGAGTCTTCATCCGCTGAAGGCTCACCTGCGGGAGGCTCATCTGCAGGCGAAACAATATCCACTGCAACTACGGGGGAATGATGCCCTCCATTGCCTTTCATCGGCAGCGGCGGCGGCGGCGGTGGTGGTAGAGTAGGAGAAGGCGGTCCTCTTCTAAGCAGAACATCGAGGTAGTTGCCTCGAAAGTCGTTATCTCCAGAAGCACCAGAACTATCGCTGCATATGCTACACCCACCCTGTTCTGGCAGTGCGTAGATATCCGCCAGGTCTTCGAGGTCGTCTTGGGTGAGAGTTATCAGATCGCTGCCGGACACCATTGCAAGCTGCTTCACGACCTCCCTGAGGAACGTGGCAGTTGATTCAACCGCTGCAGACATGTAACTTTGAAGCCGAACGATACTTTGATTGAACTTGACGCCGCTGTGGGCAATGCCATCAATCTCGGTGTCGGGATCTCTGCGAAACAAGCCCATCAATGGCTCGAACACGACAGCAGCCACTTGATATGTTGGCGTGGGCATGTGAATGTACTCCATATCCTCGTCATCGTCGGACTCTCGCTCCGTGTCGTTATAGGGAGGGTATCGTAGAACAAGCGGATCGTAAAGCTTACCCCACTGGTTGGACGTGATCACGCAGTGGTCGAGGAGCCATTGGGGAAAGTCGATGACTTGATGCTGCCAGAGTCTGGGTCAATAAAAGCGCAAAGTCGTCAAGAGAGGAACTCACAAATTGATCTCCTTCAGAAGAAGATGGGGCTTGCGGATCTGCGTTGTACTGGGGCGATGAAGACAATGAATGGGAACGGATCTTGTCATCTCCTTCCTTAGGGAAGCCGACAACGTCGTCGTTCTTGACGTCAGCCATGTTGGTGAGACTACGCAAATTGTTCCGTGAGAGCAAGGATCACCACATTCTCACGAGGTGAGAGCGTTAAATATCAAGAGAGCAGTAACAGACAAAGCTATGACACAGATGCATCTTGAGGCTCATAACACATGTATGTCGAGTACTTTTACCCCGCTCGGCATCCGGTTCTCACTGCATCATCTCATGCTGTCTCACAGAAGAAGTTACGGGCGTGTTTCTTGCCGATTGGACATGTCTTTTCGTTTGAGAAACGGTTGGCCATCACGATCAGGCAGCAGATCATCAAGATGCCGCGTGCCGTGCCTGTCCCGACGCGGGCATGGTTGATCGGCTACTCTACCCAGAGCACCGCGTCTTCTGTGAGAGCCAGAACGAAGATGCCTGCTTGGATGTGAGACAAACGTCGGCCTCCGATGACCGTGAGTCATCGTGCAACGTGAGTGACTGCTGTAGACGCATACTGAATCTCATGTTGGTGATGCTCTTTACAACGCGGAGATGGATGACCTCACCTGAAATCAGGGACGGGATGGCAGTTCTGGATCATTGATAGTCCGTCGCCAAGGAATTTGAGGCTGGAATGTGAGGCTTCCACGTTCTCGCCTCATTTGCGTGGCTGGTGAATACGAATCCCAAAAATAAACACTGCGTCAATGGCGTCAATCCGCCAATCTTACGGATAATCCAGGATGTCTCTCACCAAGATTGCGCTCCAAGAGTCCACTTGGTGGCTTGTCCTCTTGGGAACGCCCCTGGTCGTATCCAATAACGGTTAGCAAACACTGCCCCTATTCCTTTTTCTGTGGATCTGTCGAAGATTCATTTGCGGCTGACTCTTTGCCCAGCGTCTGGGCTGCCGGTTGTTGGACCTTGGCCTGGCCGCCAGGCGTTTCTAGGTCCAAGCTGAGGTTGCAACGTGGATGGTGGATGGCGGCCCGGTGGGTGGGTGGTGTTTTGTTTTTCATTTCCCAGGTTTCCTTCACTTCGACGTCCACCCGATACTCACGCAACCTTTTTTTCCCCGTTCGTGGCATATTTCGTCACTTTGCGTGTCCTGGGGTATCGATGCTTCTGGGTTCGTTTTATAGTTTCTTAATGATTTTCTGACTTCGTCATTCGCTATTCTTGTGCTATACACGCCGCATACACTCATTACACGCGCGACAATGGCGTTCAGATTGTCGCCTATTTTGGTCGCCATTTTGGCGACATTTCAATTTGGACCTGCAGCTGCAGCAGACGGAGATATCAACCTCTGCGGCCAATCCGACCACTGGAATTCCACCGAGGTTCCTTACTCTTGTGGGTTACTCTCAAATGTCATCGTGAAGGAATTCTTTACTGACGTCCGCCACAGTCAACAACAATGCTTGGGGCAACGATAGCTCGGGGTACCAGTGCATGGCCGTGCATGATGGCGGTCGCAGCTTTGATGTCACCTACAAGTGGACAGGCGACGCCTCTCTCGTCAAGGGCTTCCCCTACCTGAAGGCTCACCCATCAAGACTGCCCGTACAGCTGTGGAACGTCTCGCGACTGCAGTTCACTGCCGACTGGAAGACTTACGTCAAGGGCAAGGAGAATGCCAGCCCCGATGAGATGGCCAAGGCGTTCGACGACATCAACCTCTATGCCAACGTCGCCGTGGATATGTTCCTGTCCGACAACATCACCAACTCCACCGGCCTTAATGCGCCCTTCGAGATTATGATCTGGCCGTGGTGGGTGCCCACCGTCAAGCCCCTCGGTTGGGCAGAGTCCACACCAGACAAGGACACTGTCACCATCGACGGAAACCAATTTTCCCTGTATCACGGCTGGAACGACGGTGGACAGCACGTCTTCTCATGGCTGTCTCGCAAGAACATGACCAAGACCGATGCCGATTACAGCCCCTTGTTGAAGTACATCTGGCAGAAGGGCATGCTTTCCGGCGCTCTGTATCTTGGTCAACTGGAAATGGGGTCTGAGATCAAGCACGCGGGAGAGGAGGTCCACTTCGAGGTCAGCAACTACAACTTAAGCATCGTCAGACAGGGCGACCCGGAAGACATTACGACAACGTCAACCAGCTCGTCGGCAAGGACGTCAAAGACCCCCACACCTACAACAACGATTCCTTCGGAGATGATTGTCTCCGCGACCAGCTCTAGCACACCTACTGCCACCAACGCCGCATCTCCCATGAGGTTAATGGAAATAATGCCTTGGTCTCTTGCGTTCGCGGCCGTATTTTATAATTACTAGTTTTAATGTTGAGCATAGAATATAGACACGCCTTTTCATTCACTTGCCAGCCCCCAAACCCGGCGATGTCCATCCGCACTGGTGGATTTGACAGTCATATCTGGAACTGGCCATGAATCACGCTCGTCGTCGGGATGGATGTTTCAACGATGACGAAGTGAATGTAGTTCAACTCCAGGCCATTATCATCTATATAAAAAAGGATCTGTCGCCATCTCTGGACCCAACTCAGCCAGACAATCACCACATAATATCACCCACCTTGTATCCCGCATAAGACTCAGCCCAATCTCACAACCTATGTCATCAAACAGAAAGATGGAAAAGCCACAAAACTACCGCGGCACTGGGATTCATAAGTGCCTGTGCCCCTCGTGCGACTGCAAGTCGCTCGTTCCCAAATACGGACAGGTTTGCCAATGGTGCATAGATGCTGGGCATTACGCCATCTGATACTGTTGTGGCAAAGTAATGGATTGGATAGAGAAGTAATACCAACAACACAGTATTCGATACATAAGATTATGTGATCTCAAGTGATATATGCCGCGAGCAAAGCGTTGTGGCTGCAACTAGCCTCAATCATATGATGAACAAGGCTTGCTCATGTGCATTTCCTGGAAGACAGGATCTAAAGGTTTTTGTTCAATTGATGTCAGGAGCCTCACAGAGTCTTTACGTGTCTCCTGGCGAGCTGTGTATTCCCGAGTTTCCAGTCCTGATTCAGGACAGCTAAAGCGCCCATCGACATGACGGAATCTTGTAGGTTATTCTTGAAGCGACATAGCCTTATAGTCAAAGACTGTGTCGTGGCTACTGTCGAGCTCTTCCCAGTACTCCGGCCCCGATGATACGACCGTGAGGTCCTCTAGCCCCCATTTCTTGGCTTCAGCAACCTCAGAGGCGAATAACTCCAGTTCCTCTTTTGTGGTCTCCGGTGATCGTATGAGACGCAATTTCCTTAGCGATGGAGGTAAAGACTGCACCAACCCCGTTGGCCCCAAACCAAAGCTGCGCACATCGGTGGTAAGGGACTCGAGGCCGGTCAGCGTATCCAGCGGTACCTTGACTCTGGAGGTCCCGGATCTTCGATTCCACCCGAAGCAGACGGTCAGGCTCTTGAGAGTCCTGGAGTGCTTTGAGAGGGCGGCAATCACACTAGCCAAGTCTTCAGGCTGGCCACGCCAGATCGTGAACTCAATTCGAGTCAGTTTCTCCATGCCCCGGATGACAGACTCCAGCCTCGAGGGCGTGATGGGGCAACGTAGAATACAGAGGCTCGTGAGACTTTCCGGAAGCGTCTGACTGGGGTAGTTGAAGTCGCACATGAACAACCGAAGCTTTGCGAGATTTGGTGCTCGATCCAGGACGTGATCGAGCTCGGCTATTCTCCATCCCGCCTGCACAAGATAGAGGTACTCGAGATGATCGAAACTGACATGCTTCGTGTCACCGTGTTCGGGGAGGAGGCATTCGAACGCGGGCCGGTAGATTCCTCGCAGCTGGCAAAACTCCAGCTCCACGCTTTGGACGCGGCGTGCCTGGAACATGGCGAGTTCGACAAGTATATCCGTATTCCAGGTATATTCGTTCCAGGTCTCGCGCAAGTAAACCCTCAGCTTCTTCGCGACATCAGAAACAAAGGCGACATCTTCGGCGGGAATGGTTTGAGGAGGCGTTCCTCCAGGGACCCATTTCGTCTCGATTGTGAGACGTCTTGTGTACCCTGCGCAATGAGGTCGAGACTTCCAACACCTCAATAAAGATGTGAGAGGCTTCGCTGTTGCTTCAGGGATATAGACGAATTCGTAGAGAAGTGGCTCAACCAAATCGTGAAGTGCGCGACTGGTACGGCAAAGCTTAGCCATGGTAGACAACCCTTGATTTACCCGTTTGGTATTGAAGGATGGCTCGGCATCTTCAAACCGGAACCGATACGGTCCTGGGTTCGACTCCGTCAACTCGGAGAGAATCTGGTTCACTAGCTCCTGCGGCAGGTCGAGTAACGAAGTCGTCGCCGCGTTACCCTCAACTTGTGGCGTCGGTCTGTCTCCGATCCCCATATCGACAGACCTTGCAGGTCTGTGTCGAGGTCGATTGAAAATATTAGCAAACATCATGTTTCCCGTCAATGAAATCCGAGGTATCAAGTTGACGTTGCTTCAAGCAAGGGGATGTAGAGTTTTACAAGCAGCAAGTTGTTGCCTAGAGGTAGGATCACATGGCCGCTTTCAAGTGGAGAGGCGTCAGGAGATTGTGTCGCCGTTGGCTTACGGGGGGTGGATAATTGGCCGACAATGCATGCTTGGCAGCGCAGGGTTAACGTTGGTGCAACAGGGGATGGCCAGCCTGATTTGCAGGACGGCAATCAGAAGCGGATGATGATGGCTATCCATGATGGAAAACACAGCACGATGTTGGGAAGTTGGATATTGCAGTGAATCATCGGCTAGACGGAGTGCTAAAGATTTCCAGAATGGAGCACGATCTTGACACAATCTATTGCAACTCAGACATGCCCCGAGGGCCTCAGTGAAGTATGCAGCAGCAGCAATACACGAAGCAATCGTGACAACGAGTGATGCGAACCGAAGTCTAAAGCTGGAAAGGGGGTGAAGTCCAAATCATTCAAAAATGGTTTGTCGATGCAAGTGACTTTATTTCTTAATGAGTCTAGTTCGTCTCATAATTGATCGTCTCCATGCATCTTCCCTGTGAAGCGCCACGGACAGCTACCTTATGCTTAGTCATTCTCCCCAGCAAAGAGAATCCCGAAATGCCCCGCGCCCCGGAGCTTCGGGGCGGATTCATTCGCGTGTCAACTCCATCAAACCCCAGATTCACCACGCGACCGGTGGATCATGTCGACTTCCGTCGTCCCCGGGGACGAAAACGATACCTCCAATGATCACGCGGTTCTTGAGTCTCCGCGCAAGTCGCACAAAGCGGGTGTCGGCGCACTCCTCGCCCTGGTGCTACTCGTCAATCTTGCTGCGAGCTTGTACCAGCTTCCCCTGAACAGAGTCGTTGAGCGGCGTCTTTGCCGGGAGTATTACTTATCGACGGATCCTTCAGTCATTGATCAGGACGGAAATGTCGACGAGGGACTTTGCAAGATCGATGGCGTCCAGCAGCGCTTGGCCTGGATTCAGGGCACTATGGAAACGGCGTGGATTGTTGGAGGTACCCATTGGGTCCACGAGCGATGCACTGAAGATCTTGGCTGACGTTGCGATTAGATTTTGTCATGACGATTCCCTTAGGATTCCTCGCTGAACGTTACGGTCGGCGGACCATCCTTTGTTTGAATCTTGTGCCTCGAATCGTCATGCCGGCATGGGCCGTTATTGTTGGTCATTTCGAACAGACTCTGCCCACCAAAGCCATTGTCGCGTCTCCTTTCCTGTCCGTTCTGGGTGGCGATTGCGTTTTCAACTCAATTACATATGCGATAGCATCTGGCATGACCGATGATCACGTTCTAAGGTATGTAGGATCTTCCGAACCGATGGGTATCATCATTCTGACTGGGTGGTAAAGGGCAACCTACTTTGGCTGGATGAGCTCCGTCTCTTACGTCGTCGCTCTGCTTGGACCTGCCCTAGCATCAGCCACGATGAGTCTTCTCCTATGGTTGCCTTTCTGGATTGGTATATGCCTCTTGTTGTTAGCCATCCCGACCATCTCCCTGCTCGAGAACACCTCAAGTACCCAACCTCCATCCTCCCGAGCAGGTCACGGTGATGAGCAGTCACGGCCCCTTCTTTCCTCCCCAATCTTGAAGGCCCAAGACGCGAATCCCTCGCTATTCAGATCTATTTTCCAACGCTTCGGTGTCTTGCGGTCTATCGTCACAAGTCACCCACGAAACATGACCCTCCTTCTCATCAGCTTCGTCTTGACTTCCCTTGCCAGCTCTGATACGAAGCTTTTGGTTCAGTACATCTCGAAGCGATACCATTGGACATTCGCCTCCACCGGGTACTTGCTCTCAGCCAAAGCTGTGGTCAACTTCACGCTTCTGACGGTTATCATTCCGGCACTACTGCGCTCTCGGCGGAGGAGGTCCCGACATGATCCGCCAGAGCTGGCTAGCCATCGAATGAACATGCACTACGCCAACGTCTGTCTCATTGTTTCTATTCTCGGCGCTCTGGCCATTGCTCTTGCTGCAAAGATATGGATGCTAGTCCCATCCTTGTTCCTTTACGCACTTGGCTCTGCCCTTCCAGTCTTCACCTTGTCATTGCTGAAGTCACCGTTCATTGCCCCGAAGCGGAACGAACATCAAACGGACTCAGTCGATCCCGAGTCCCACATATTCTCCATCGTGATGATGGTAAAGACATCGGGATCGTTACTTGGCGCGCCGTTGATGATGGTTCTTTGGGTTAGAGGCATTGCCGTAGGCGGTGCTGCCTTGGGAATACCCTACTTTGTCTCTGCAAGCTGCTATCTCGCAGCGGTCTTGGTGCTTGGTAAAATCCAAACCCAATGACGACCCGATTCTTCTTTAGACTTGCCAAACCATCTTGTTATCTAGGCGCCATTGAGAATATGTCACCTCTATCTGCTACCTCTTTCCACTATACAATTCTAGAAGCCGTACTGTTCCGCGTGTAGACAAATCCCCTGCGCGCCTGTGCCCTTGTGTACGGCTCTCTCGTCGGACAGACGACTCACGAAGTTCCTGACCGTCGCCACGAGTGGCGAGCCTCCGCAAACAACCACCAAGGATTCGCCGCCAGCGGCTTCCACGGGGCTTCGAATGAACTCCTCAACATCCGGACGAGTGGTTAGAAACTGAATCTCGGCGTCACCGTTACCCTCCCGCCGGTTCGCTGCTGGGTTGGCGCCGCTAGCCTCAACGTCGACGTCGAATCGATTCTTCTCTGAGAGACCGTCATCGACGTAACTCTCTGCGGATGCAACAGACGCACGCTTGACGTTCATGGATCGGGCAAGTGCAGCCGGCGTGGCTATACCCGGATCGCCAGTCACCGCGATTTGTACTGACAATTCTAACCCGAGTTTCTTCTGTTCTACCTGCGCAATCAGTGCGCGAAGCCGCTCGAAGTAAAACTCGATCTCGTCGGAATGCTTTGCCATCAAGAGAAAGTCAATCCGCGTGACACAACTCGCTTTACTCGATGCGACGACGCCCTCAAGAAGCGACAGTGTGTAAGAAGCGCCGGTAGAAGCTGCGATGAGCACAAGGGTCTCATAGTGATTACATGCTGGAGGGTGTCCGTATGGGCCCATGACGAATGCTGTCAACGTCTTGGACTCGTTGCCTGCTTGTGAGGCATAGCGATGGAGTCGGCGGGAGAAGCCGGAGTGCTTTCTAACGACTAGGTTGATACGACAGCTTTTGCCAGAGTTGTCGGTGTCTCGAATGCCGGCAACCGTGTACGGATGGGTTTGCGTCGGCCCAACCCCAGGCAGCCAGAGGTAGATATGCTGACCGGCACGCCAGTTGAAGCCCACGTTTTCGATCGTGAGCACCGTCGTCTGCAATCCAAGCGCCCGAACACTGGCAGGGTGGCCAAGTCGTCGGCCCACGCCCGTCTTGAGCTTGAAGTTGTTGCGAATCAGCTGCATTGTCCTGCCCAGGCGATCCGAAGCGAGAGCGGCGACGGAAATCCAGACAACAGACTGCGCGTAGGCAGGTACGTGGACATAGACCAGCCACAGAAATACGATGGCACTGATGACATGCTGGGCGACGAAGAACTCGTAGGAGATGTTGCGGAGCGGGCCTAGCGAGATGAGAAATGACCAGAGGAGGACAGCCCAGGCCGCGAAGCCGTAGCGGATCATCGGCATGCTCATCTGCATCTCGACCAAGTCGGCTTGCACCCATTCGGTATAGAAGTAGAAGCCGTGTACTGTAGCTGTGACCAGCATGGTGCGGGCTACCCAACGGTGAAGCCAGTTGAGGCGCTCGTGGCCTGCGCCAACAATGAGGCCCAGTATGCTGAACTTGGAAGCGAGTAGATATACCAGTGGCACTTGCATGGTGGTAATCCAGGCGTTACGGAAGCCAATACGCTCCCAGAAGTATGCGTCTTTGACACTAGTCTCGGATGCCATCATGTACGCAATAACAGCCCAATAGACCAGGAGGACAAGAGACCGTCCCAGCGGTGGTGGGCTTATCCAGGAAATCCACGCCGCGCGTAGTTGCAGTTGCGGATAGCTCATCTCCCGTAAAATCGCTGTCGACGTCGCAAACATCCGCTGGAAGCCGTTGCTTGGTCGAGTAGGGTGCTTGACGGAAGCAGTCGCGCTACGACGGATTCTAACAGAAGGTAGAGTCAGCAAGAAGATACCAAGACGGCAACAGGAAGGCTTTCGTTTGGTGGGAGGTTTTGATTATGCGAAGCCATCTGTTGGGAGAGAACAACATGGAAGGAAAGATGCGATAGCACAATTACCTTTCGTGCGACTGATACAGGTTGAGAGCCCGCAAGATGGCGATGCTGCCAAGCACACCTGCGATAATGATCCAAAAGTCACGAGCCAGCTCCATGTTGGTTGACTGGAACATGTTCATGCCCATGGACATACCGCCCATACTGCTCATGTCCATGATGGCGACCAGGAGGGCTTGTCCCTCAAAGATGGACGATACAGGTGAGAGGACTCAAGTTCACCAATGTGAACGAAATAGTATTAAGAGTTCGATCGGGGCCGGCCGAGTTGTGAAAACAAACGTTTGATGCAAAAGAACGAAGACTAAGTGCCAATAAACATACGACTAGCATCAAAGCTTCGCAGGGGGAATGTCCCGTCTTACAAAGTACTGAAGGCCTGATCAACTGTCGAAACCCGCGGCATTGCTCTCCCGCGAAGCTTGCCTCAGAAGAAGTGCTGGGCAAGTTGCTTCCATTACTGTTACACGATTTCGTTCCTCATGTTTTACCATTCGCGGCCCACTCACACCCTCACCGGCACTTTCCAACCGCCTAAATAGGTTTCCATCCGCCATAGTGAGAAGGAGGCATATTGATCGGCTCAGAGTGCCGGAGACAGGGATAAGTGATCGATCTAGAATTTCACCGAGGAGCACCAGGTGTTGTGAGTTGGCGTTTACAGCACATCACGCACGTCAGTATGGGCGCTAACCCGAAAACAGCGGCAAGGAGAGGGAGTTTCGTCGCAACTTGGACCTCAAACCAGTGGCGCCAAAACAAGCTCAATTCTGCTCGTCTGCAAAGTAACCTTCACTAATAACCTCATGACAGCCCAAACCCTGCATCGACGTTCCTCGTAGTGCGAACGAGAGGAACCGCTTCTCTTGCTTCGGGAACTCGTCGCCGGAGGATTCTCAGAAGAAGAGGCTGCAATAACCCCTCAACCCCATGATGGCTGCTGAAACGCACTCAATGTTGCGCCCACCACGTACCGGCTACTGAGCGGGAAACGAGCTGGCTTCACCAAACACTCTCAGAACATTGATCGAGTTCCTGACAAGTCACAACCCTCAACACCACCCCTGGCTGGCCATTTAAGTCAGTGCAGTACCCGCGTGTGACACTGGCTCATTCTATCGGTGCGTTTCTCATCAACTAACAGACTTTTCGGCTTCCTACGTTTCTCGGTATATCCTGCGCGTTAGACCCTAATATCACAACACTGAGGCTGGATCTCACTGCTATTCTTACCTTCATCCCCCCTAATAATCGACCTCTTGCACCACAGGCTTATAATAAGCCGTTGCTTCTTCACCATGGCTCCCCTCCGATCCGTCGTCGCCGCTGCCCTGCTCCTGGTGTCCGCCGCTCAAGCGCACTTCAAACTGAACGCTCCGCCGACGATTGGCTTTAGCGATGATGACGAAGGCAAAGCCCCCTGCGGAAGCTTTACTCCCGACTTCACCAAGAACAATGTGACGGACTTTCACGTTGACGGCGAGGCCGTCGCGTTGCTTTTGGCTCATCCCACGGCCAATTGGCTGTTCCGCGGTACCCTCGACAAGACGGCTGGTGGAAATTGGAAGCAGCTCTTCCCTATCGTTCAGCAGACAGGTCTCGGAGACTTTTGCGAACCTTCTGTGACAGCGCCCGCCAGCTGGGTAGGCAAGATGGGCGTCTTGAGCGTCGTCGCTGATGGTCCTGATGGGCTGCTCTACCAGGTTGGTTCCCATGCCGATTTATGACCCTGCGAGGACCGGAAGACCAGTGCATCATGTCACTACGCCCCCTCTTTCGGTACTTCAAAACACACTTACTCGTTGTTGCTAACCATGTTCAAGTGCTCCGCAGTCAACTTCGTCTCTGGTGCCGGCACCAAACCCGCGTCTTGCAAGAACGCCACGACGGTCACGGCCACCTTCACCACAGACTCGAAGCTCACAGCACTACTTGCCAACGGGACTGGAAGTTCCACTCAGCCATCGACATCGGCGAGTGCTGCCGCGCCAGTCAACCGTGCTGCTGTCTCATTGGGTGGCCTCTTCGTGGTTGGAGGCGCTGCCGTCGTAGGCTCGGCGCTGCTGTAAATCCGATCTGGCCTGGGGGCATCGGGCGAAGGCGGGAAACATTTGGAGTGGTATCTAGGTGTAACGAATGTTGCTAGCATTTGTTTTCTTCACAAAACCACGTTCATTGAAGAAACGTTCTTGTTGCTCGTGCATGAAAGTGATTTCAGGGGCTGCTGTATGAGACGGCGAGCTTATCGATAATGATAAGATATCACACGATAACCAATCTTATCGATAAGCCGGTCGCAGCACGAATCAAATGCGACCGTTCTCAGATGATTCCCCACTGTTTGCGGCGAGAAATGAGAATTGTGATCTGACACGGATGACATAATCTTCGTTATCACAGGACGAGGAAGACTTATCAGCAACATCGAACCTCATTTTCGGATCCACTTCTGCCACTCTACAACTCATCGTGGGACCAGGATGTCGCGCGATTCCACGACGGGCGCAAATCCCGACCCGCAGGCCGGATCGTCTGCTGCTCAAGCTCAGGCTCAAGCTCACGCTCATCAATCATCATCGCATTCACGAGCACAATCCTGCGTTCTTTCCGTCGCGACATCCGTCCCTAAGCAAATCGCCCTTCTTCCCGATGAGCTCCTCCTTCAAATCTTCGAGACCGTCGGTCGCACCTCGCGCAGCGACCTATGCGCCGTCAGCCGTGTGAATGGGGCCTGGCATGAGCTCGCCGACGCCATTCTGTACCGTCAAGTCCGCTTCGACGACCCAGAGCAGCACCTCGTCTTCTCGGAATCCCTCAGTCGCCGCATGCGTCGCGGCTCTGCTATTCAGGACGTCAGCCTCGAGTATCCCGCTCACGAACTCTCTCACTTGAGGCTCGATGGGCCGATTCATGGCTCACACCACCCGCCGACCCGCTTTGAGGCCCTCAGTCGAACCATCAGCACTATGAGCAACCTCGCGACCCTCGAGGTGTCCGTCCCCGTTACGCTGCTTCACGGCATCGGCGCACTCTTCAATGGCCCCTTCGATCTGGCTTGCTTGAAGCACTGCACTCTTTTTTACCAGTGCCCGGATGATGCATACTGGGATCTGCGCGAGAATGTCCACATCTTTGCCCACCCGACACTCGAGACCCTCGTCATCCGGAGAGCGAAGCTGGACTACCGCGGCTTTGACCTCATCGAGCGCCCCCATGAAACCGCACTGCACAAGCTGCATCTGATTGAGTGCGACATTAACGATGATGCGCTTTCGGATATTCTCGAGTTTCCCGAAGGGTTAAAGGAGTTCGTGATGACCCAACTTGAACAGCCCAGCCCGGAGTTGGAAGAAAGCTCGGACAACTTTAGCGACTACATGCTGGCGCTAAACTCTCAGGGCCACTCGATGGAGTCCATCACCATCGACCACCCAACGCTCACCGGCAGGAAACCAGTACGGATGAGGGACTTCGAGGCTTTGAAATCGTTAAAGCTGAATTGGGACTACCAGCTTTTCGGCAAGTCGTCCAAGAAGCCAAGGCTGCACTCTGTTGGCTTGCCACCCAACCTGGAAGTCTTGGAATTTTTTAACGAACTCGGTACGGACGACGAAGTCACTGAGCTGCTGGAGTACACTCTCCAAGTCGCCAACGTCACACATAGCAAGCTCAAAACGGTCGTCGTCGTCCCAGGCGATAATGGTGTCCCCAAGGAGATTATCGCGGCATGCAAGACAAGCGGCGTAAAGCTGGATATCATCGGGGCCTTTGATGAAGATGAGGAGAATGGATTCTAGACGCGGAAGGAGTCGGACAGAAATGAGACTATAGCATGATAAACGATAGAAGCAACGGCGATACGGCGTAGAGAAGACGACAAAGACAGAGGGTCTTAGACTCGTAGACTGCATTTACATGATGATAGATTTCCTTAGACTATTTAGAAAACAATAAAGTAGAACACCCCAGGAAACTAGATGTGCCACTTTCAGTCATCGGAGCTCGACCTGGAAAGGTCTCTTAGAAGGCAACCTCATATCTTGGCCGTCAACGGCTTCTCCAACAAGCCCTTCACCTTGGCCGCAACGCCAAACGCGAAGACATACCCAAGTGGTCCTACTCCATACGCATGGATGACATCGCCATCCCTCTCGACACGAACACCCCCCTTCCTACCAGGACGGAACCCGACAAAGTCTTTGATTACATCATGGTCCGCCTTGAGCCAGGAGAACCTCCCCCTCGTCAACTGGTTCACACGGTCAAGGATATCCTGTCTGAGGCTGCGGTCGGGATCAGATTGCGTGTTTCCGGGCTGGGACACTCCGCCCAGAATGAATCCGCCGTCCGAAGGCCGAGGAATCATGTAAGTGTACTGCGAGCCCTGGCGTAAGATCACTTCCGCGGTAGTTGGCGTCTTCACAAACATGGTCTGCCCACGAAGAGGCTCCACAGCATCATCCCCAGCAAGCTCTCGCGCCCCAAGGCCAGAGGCGTTTACAACAACTGCAGCGCCTGTCATGACTTTGGCTTCGTGTATCGACGAGATCGCAGCTTTCAAGAATTCGACTCTTCGGTCCCGAAGTTGCTGCATCGCCCAGGGGAGAAACTGGTTCGGGTTGATTACATGGCTGTCGTATGTGAAACCTAGGGTGGTTCCTGCAACCATGTCGCTGTCTCCCAGCTTTCGGAAGTTGGCGACGCTGTCGCGATACCAGATATACGCGTCATTGGGGCGGTCATCGTAGTATTCGGTAACCTTCACGGCCTGCGAAAGAACAGGTAAGTTTTAGCTGGGTTTTGGGCTCATTTCATCGGCCTACTCGAATCCCAGCGTTCTCATCTTTTTGAGCCAAGGCTCTCCACGCTCGCAAAGACTGCTCTTGCAACTCTTCCAGGCCATAGTCTGGGTGTGGTGCCAGGACAGCACCGGCCCTGTTATCAACCTCCGACGTCAGCTTGAAGAAAAGGTTGGCGAATAGGCAGGTTTATCATACCAGGGACTCGCCCATTCTGTCGAGTAATCACCCGCAATATTTCGGGCGACGACGGTGACAGCATGGCCAGCATCAGAGAGCAATAACGCGATACAAAGTCCGGTCACGCCTGCACCCACGACAGCTATCTTCTGCTCGGTACTGGGCATGGTTGGATACGATGCAGAGTGCTTTGAGAGTTGTGTAGTGAGTTTTCTGGATATCGACTAAGTGAATATAAAATGCCTGAATTGAGGGTTTCCAGACTTCTATCTCCGTGGTAATAGTATCTGCCTGGATTGATGTATGACGTTGAATGAATCTCCGCACTCCAGTCCGCATCTCCGCGATGCTTCCGAGGATGGTGCATCAGATTGGGAAGGTTATCCCGACCCCACCCCGGTGTGCAGCCGGACATTTGGTAATGTTGGAAGTTGACTTGTCCCTGGCGGTAGAACCTGAATCTCTCGACTTATATCACAAGCCTAACACTCATAGTTCCCAACGCAAAATGATTAACATAAGACTGCCCTCTTCGTAGGTTTACACTGTCGAAGTATTTGAATAACCAACAGATCCTATAGCCTGTCGTAGTATTTTCTGGGTCCGTAGGATACAACTGCGACAAGAATAAGCGTTCTTCGATCGATTGCACTTTCATCAGTGGACTGGCGCTGGTGGCAGTTCGATCAATGGAAAGGCTAACACAGAGGCATTTGTTTGCTATACAAGTACAAAACTGGAAAATGGGGCGGAAACAGAGAGCGAATATCTAATTTGAAAACCAAAATCAGAACAAAAGCCAAACCTAGACCTACAAAACCAATCCAAAAGTAGATGAGTAACAAATACCAGACTACTTAGACAATATCGGTATCTCTCATCTGCGGGCCTCCTAATCAGATGGAAGCGACTGGCTAAGATGGAATCACCATTCCCAGGGATAGTTGGGTGAAGGGAGGTGCCCGAGATTGGTGCAATTCCACGTGTGACACACTTTGCAAACACGACCTCGTGGAAGCCTGTTGTTGAGTTCCTCTCGAGTTTCCATAATAGTCCAGTCACTTGCCCGCTTTCGGTCTCCGACTTGGAAGAGGTCATCAGGCTGTCGCACGGCCTCCCCAACAGGCCCGTATGGGTTACCGCGAACTTTGGCGACTGTTCCATCTTGGTGCAAACCAGTCACCAGCAGGTCTCCAGCTGGCGTGCTGTTAGGTGTGGCAAGTGATTTGCTTCCCAATCCACTGGGCTTTGGCTCTTCTAGGTCTTTGAGGGACTTCCGGAAGTTCTTCGGTACGTCGGAAGTGCTCCGGGTCGCTCTGCTGGTGGATCGTGACGAAAGACCATCCCTACTGCTGGGCTTCACGATTCTGTCGACCACTCGTCGGATGGGTAAGCTCGGAGAGGATCGGATCGGTGAACTGCTCGAGGGAGGTACAGCAGTGTCTCGAATATTGTCCTGAAGGTCACGGCGAACGGCCGGGTAAAGCTGGAGAGGGATTGCGACACGGTGGTCATTGTAACGAGCGTGTCCATAAGGAGAAAGCGGTGACTCTTGCGTGCAAGGCTCGCAAATTCTTTCGATGTGCTTGAAAGCGGTCCATCCCTTGAACCCTTCACAGCGACCCTCAGGCGTAGCCCAGGGATTATCTTGAAATTTGGGTGGCTGGAATAGCCACCATTGCCAGCAACGATGCTTCTCCTCCCACTTTGACTGGTTGCTAAAAGAAGTGATATGTCCAGTCTCAGCTTGGAACACTTTCTTTTCAATGTCTACAGCCCGCCGTCTTGGGCATCTCCTCTTAGGACAAGGGCAGACGTTGTAAATACGGTAACCCGAACACATTGTAATTGACGGCGAAATAAGACGGGATGATATGAGTAGTTTCGATTTTGGGTGTCGATTCGATGAAACTGCGGTTGAGAATGTCTGGATTGTATTCAACTTTGTCGAAGACAGCAAGATGCTCTCTTATACGTCTGAACTGAGAATTCGCGAAATAACCGTAGCACAGGGTCTTCATCATAGAACAACGGTTCAAATCACCATGAAGAAAGAGGGCATTGAAATCGTTGATGTCGTTCAAAGGCCTTGTGCGACTTGCAAGTTGAGAGAACATCTTTGTTCCCCCAACCCAGCCAAGAGATACATTCAGTTTAAGCCGGCGAAGCCAAAGAGACGTTCAAAGCTCGTTGTTGAATCTCCTTCAATGAGGTTTAAACTGTATTGTTTCTGAATTACTCCTAAATTGGTTGGCTCTTCTCTGAACACAAGCCATTGTGTGAACAGCCAGGTCATAAACAACGAATATTCCGAGTGCCGGGGTGATGATGAAGTGCTGAACGGCATAACAGATGAAAAGCAAAATCTCCTCTTGGTAAGTTTGATTGTTATTTATGTCATGGAGGGCGCATCTGAGTAATAGTTTCCCCAGCGATTGAGGGCAAAATTAGGACTCTTCAGACCATGTTCATCCTCTTAACCTGGCAATTCCGACAACAGACAGCAACAGCTTTCACGACGACTCGTCATAAACTAGGACTGACAGAATAGAATGAACAGAATGGAATAAATTAAACTTTTGCGTAAGATGGGAGTTCTCTTATGGTTTCGCTGCTGGCGTCGTCACTTTCGCTACATAGCCTAATGCTATCGCCGCGCTGCCTTAGTCGCATTTCCAGCACAATGACTTCATATTGCCCGTAACGCATTCGGTTTAAGATGTTCTTTTTGTTTTCCTTCGATGAGTCCAAACTCCCTGTAGGGGCTAATGCGATATCTCCGTTGGATATCAATCAATGAAAGACCAAACGCCGCCGCTTCAATGCCAAATTATGCCTATGGATACTTTGCAATATCATGTGAATCCTCTCGGAAAACCTTAGTTGGATCCCAGTTGGCTCCGTTATCCGAAAATGCGATAAGTCAAAGGACGCGATCTCCTCTCGAAACTGCCCCTCCTCCATCTGCGCCGAACTATCTCGACTTGCTCACGTCGACATGAATCATCACGCCGACACGGATCGTCGCGCCGGTATATTTCGTCGCGACGGTATACCTCGTCGCGCCGGCACGGGTCCTCCTTTCGGCATGGATCCTCTCGCCGGCATGGGTCTTCTCTCCGGCATGAGTCTTCTCTCCGACACAGCTCTTCTCGTCGGCATAGTTCTTCTCGCCGGCATCTCTCGTACTCGTCGCGCTTCGCGATCTCTTCAAGGAGAATATCCTTTTGCTCCCTCTCGCTGTCCACCATGGCTTTCAAGATCTCCACCTTCTTGACGAGTTCCTCAACTCTCCGAGATCGTATGTGCTCGTCGGCGAGCTTTCTCTCAAGGTCTGATATGACCCGCATTAATCTGTCGACCTCATGCCGTCGGCTCTCATGTATTGTATGATTCTCGCGCTCGCACCGGAGCTCTTCATCAAGAATCTCAACCCTGCGCACGAGATCCGCGATGCGGCGCTCGTACATGTCTGACGGACATCTAAGCCGCTCGTTTTCAAGTAAGCACTCCAATTCGTCAACTCGTCGGAGTACGTCGCCGGCTTTGCGCTCCCAGTGCTCGACCCTCCTTTGCTCTCGCTCCAAGTCAAGCAACAACCGTGCGTTTCGGTCCTCCAGATCCTGTCTCCTGAAGCGGCTGTCGTCGTCCGAAACCCACGTGTTGCGGAGGATGCGAATTTCTTCTTTGCTCTCATTGAGACGTAGCAGACAGCTGTCATAATCCCGGATGAGCTTCTCATGGCGGCATTTGAGTTCGTCGTGATGGCGTGTTTCGAAACCCCGTCCTTTCAGCCTGTCTTCCAGATGCTTGATTTTCTTATGCAGTTCCTTTCGCGAGTGCTCGAAGCAAAGCTTGTCGCATCCGGTGTCGTTGAAGTTGATGCAACCATCGATCTTGCAACAGTGCTCCTCGCAGTAGCCCAGACGGACTTTACACTTGGCGTGACATCCGTCTTTCTTACACTCGTGTTCTTCGCAGAACGTCCCGCACTTCACATGGATCTTGTCGCATCCATCCCACGAGCAAGAGTGGGTTTTGCAGTAAGAACCACTCTCGCTCACTTCGCTGCAGTCGTCAACGGAGCATGTGTGTCGACGGCAGTAAGTACCAAAGCTGGTCTTCTTAACGAGAATCGCCACAGAGTAGCACTCGGAAAACTCGCAGCCATGTTCCCGGCAGAAGAGCCTCTCGCTGTCTTTCTCGTTGTCTCGGAAATTGGCGCATCCTTCGAAGGTGCATTTGTGATAGCCGCAGTATTTGGTTTTCGGAAGACATAGTTTGTCGCAGCCTTTGTAAATGCAGCGCAACTCTTTGTAATCTGTCGAAGATTAGCCAAATCAACTTGATGCAGCCAACTCAGGGGAGACTCACGCTTCTCGCAATGGTCCCAGAGTCCATCCTTGTGATGGTGTCGGAAGAGTTTGCAATCTTTGACGGGGCACTTTTGGTGTTTGATACAGCGAAATTCGATGTGAACCTTTTCCCGACAGCCTTCCTCGCGGCATATAGTCGAGACGTGGTCTTTACAAAACTCCGTATCCGTCACGCGCTTCTCCCAGCACTTCGATACTGAACATCGATGATCTTTGCAATAGAGATAATTCTCGTGCCTTTGCTTGTAGCATTTATCATCTCGGCAGATGTCTGTATAAAATACCTGTCAGCGTCATGACATCGTTTGGCGGCGAATGGACCTTACGGCTTGCACAAAACCATGGCAGCGCAATGCCGAGAGGGCAGTCGCCCTTGTTTTCACAATCTTTGAAACCGCATGTCCTATCTTCTCGACTTTTCAGTAAGTTTTCAGCGCCAAAAGGCAAGATAATACGCACGCTCGGAGCAGAACCGATGATGGATGTCTTTGGGCTTCCTGCACATCGACTCTCCGAAAACACAAGATTTGCACGTATCTGTAGAAACTAGGTCAGCTTCTAAAGAGATGATGCAATTGATCTTCCAACTTACGCTCTACGCAGAACTCAGAGTAGAGTCTCACAGCACCTTCGCGGCGAATATAGGCATGCTTCCTGGAGCAGCCATCGTAATGACAGGTTCTATCCCATTCTGAATCTACAGAACAGCATGATGTCGTGCTGGAGTGCGAGCTGACGACAGAGACCTTCTTGCGGAGGATGGGCATAGCTGCCGTCGTGTAATCTCCCACCCAGTGCGGTCACTAGCTTGCGATAGGTATGGTGTAAGCGCGCGCTGGTGATATTTGTCGATTGGTACAGTAATAATTACAACAGAAAGTGAAAAAAATATGCGGAGAAGAAGAAAAGATGGAGTAGTGGATGGAGGGAGACTGGGGGAAATTCTTTTTGAATGGGATGGTGTGGTGAAGGAGGTCAAGGTGAATGCAGGAGCACGCTCAGGTGAAGGAGGCCGACTGGGACAAGGACCCCGTGAGGTGAGTGCGACAATAGCTTCATCCCATGTTTTCGGCGGTGGTGTGGCTCAGCTTGGTAGAATTTGTCCCAGGCATTTGGAAAGGGCCTGACCACAAAAAGAGCTTCGGAACCCCCTAATTTGCCTGTTTGCTCAGGATATCGTTGCGTTCGCGTTATCATCGAAATTGATTTCATCAGGCAAGTTGAGGACGCTGTGAGGGCATCATCTAGAAATAGCAGGATTGCCCTTTGAGCTTCTCCGAACTGCAAGCAGTTTCTTGCCGAAGAATTGAGGATTTCAACTTGCGCAAAGCGCTTCTTCATCATGGCATGCAAAAACAGTAAGGTGGTGGAAGCTGCTCCTACGAGAGAGGAATGCTGCAACAATCTTGAACAAGCAACCAAATAAGTCCACCCATCTCGACATCCAACGCTGGGTTACTTCGATCGGTACGTGCCGGCCTGATCCCGCCGGTGTACCGATTGCGAACAGACGTCCGACCAGACGCAGACGAAACCAGATTAGCTTGACAGCAGTTCGGGCTGGACAGCACGGCGAAATAGTCTGGATGATGCGCGGATACGCGATTCAACCCGGAGTCGCGAGATTCGAAAGCTCGGGAGAGAAGAGAAAAGTTGGAGAAGACAACCACATCATGGAGTAAAGGCCGCTTGTACGCATCAGCCACACGTGGTACCTGAGCTGGCCGGCTGACGGCGGGCTCAAAGGACGTCAAACCATCACATGGGGACGGATTTGTGTGGCATGCGCCCAGCAGACTAAGACAAACACCCACAAAGGGCACCCCGCTAATCACGTCCGGCTTCGACCAGTGATGTCAATGAACCAAGGACAGATTCCAGACCTACAACTATGAAGAGGTTGTGTGTCATAGTTTTTCTGTTTGTTGGCATGAAGCTGTAGGTAAACAAGCTTTTAGACACACAAAGTAGCGATTGATGGCAGTCCAATTCTCGATGCGGTGGAGTTGAGCCCAGTTTCATGAAGGAGACCTTGGATGCCACGAAGCTTGTCGTCACTATGCATCCGGACTGCACCATTCAAAGCCGCTATTCAAAGGCGCTAGTAAAGGGGAAAACTGCAAGCACTTAAACTCTTTGACTGAGAATAGATTGACTAAAGGAGCTCCGCTTTGTCCGCCCACCGCATGTAAGATTTATTCTGAATGTCATCTATTCTGCCACGACTTTCTTTTCAAGAAGATGCAATAAGTAGTCCATTGAAGAGACATCGAGCAAGATGCTGACCAACAATACTCTACTGCTCAATGAGGAGCATCATGAGTACTCTAGGAAGGACTCCCTCCAGCGATTGATGTCAAGACGTCAAAGCGCTCAGTAGTCTCTTGTCAAATAGTCATGAAGGGCTTCAATAACGCATCGTTCGCCTTGAGGTTTGAACAACAGAAGCCAATGCCCCATGCACCTTGCATGTCTTCGGCCCCCGGAGCCCTCGAAGCAGTGACCTCCAAGCTGACGAGACCCGATTTGATACACGACGACGTCCGACAGCTGACAATCCAAGGGTCAGACTATTGTACAGCAACACAGACACCTTCTAGCCTTCAGTCCTGACAATCTGACCGACGAGGTCTTCCAGCACGGACGCAGCCCTACGCAAATCCGGAGCTTCGCCATACCAGCGCTGCAAGGCACAGGTGGCGCAATCCACCGCATGTTTCCACCGGTCCGGCATACGGAACCTATCACTCTTGACCGCCGCCAAGAGAATCAGAGCACGGGTCATAGCCGCTCTAGCCATGAACCAAGTTCCGTGATGCCGATGGTGCGAGTTTGTGTCTAGCAGCAGCTCGACTGAGATCTCGAGACACTTTTCTGCTAGCGGCATGGCGCGGGGAAGCCAGGGGTCGTTCGGCGCTTGGTGGATTACGTAGTAGACAAATGGCCGATGGATCCATTCGCGACAACTCTCTGCTCGGTTCTGGATATAGTGAACCAACTCGTTATTCGAGAGCTCTCGATTCTGCCAGTTGATCTGTTGTGGGATGTGACAGCACCTGACGGGCATGTCAGTAATGAGAACCACCAGTCGCAGAGCACAACTCACCAGACATTGATCTGCTGGTCGAAGTCTTCGCACTTCTCTACCACCTTTGCGATATTCCGTATCCATGCTTCTTCACCGTGATAGCCCATGATGGATATTGCTCGATTTATCATCCTCCGTGATGAAATCTCGGCAAGATAGTAAAACCAGCTCTTTTCTTCTTCCGGTTGGATGTCATCCTCAAGAATGTCCAGGGAAGTGGGTTGAGGTGCCGGAGTAGCAACTTCTGAAGGCGGCGAGGGGAATAAGTCCGGGTAATTCAGCTGTGTGATACCACTCGAGGGTAACGGTATCTCGCATCTCAGTTCACTGAGACGTCAAAGTCAGTTGATGATACACTATCAGATTCGTGATCTTGTCGGCTTACCATTCAGACTTCATGCAAGACCAATAGAGTCGTTGTTCGAGTCGACGCGCCTTTTGAGACATGTTTTCTGACGTCCGCCGTCGTGTCCGCCTCCAAAGCAAATTCTTGAACTGGACGCTGGCCTGGTTGAAGTAAAACCAGGCAGGCAGCGGATGAAGAGAATACATCTCAAACACTCCGCAGAAGAAAAGGCACTGAACTTGAAGTAAAGATGGTTCAAGCAGTCCCAGGCGTTTCTTTGCCGCGAAAAAGTATGATTGAGCTGTTTCCGGGTCTGTCGAACTTGACGCTGACGACCTTATCGATTCAGGGGTGCCGTTGAGACTTGATTCGGACTGAAAAGGAGTCGCCAAGCACGCAAGTGCGCATGCAATGAGCTAGACTGTCTGTAAGTATGCGATACCGATTGAGAAATTACTGCAACGTACCACTAGACATGATGCACCATCCCACCGAGCACCATGTTCGATTGCATCTTTTACATACCCCTTAAAGTCGGCAATGTCGAGAACCGGATTCTTCACATGGACGTATGCAAGGAACTTCTTGGAAAGCACAGTGAAATCGTCCTCCTGCACCCCTCTTCCCAGATTCCCATTGCTGGTGGCTCTTGACTGGCTGAGGTAGTCAGGGTCGTCCTCTTCAAGTTCGAGAATGATGGAGTGAACTTCAGGAACCGTGTCTCTGAAAATGGGCCACCGTAAAACCGCTTCACAGTTAGGACTGGCTGCTGCATGATCTGGTATTTCAAACCGAATCATAACGTCGTCATCGGGCAACCCATCGTCAACCTGGCATTGGTTTTCATCCACAACGGCGCAAGAGCTTCCTCCAGGACCATTGATAGAGTTCGGGGACAGGACCTGTTGTCCGTGTGGGATGGCTGGAATGCATGTAGGCGCAGTGCAAGGAAGCTCGACCTGGGGCGGCGGTGGCGGCGGTTGGTTTTCCAGCAGGTTGACGACATGATTAATTCTGTCCAAAATTGCCAGGCTTGCTGGATCAAATCTAGCACGATATTAATGTTGTGACATGGTATCCGAAATGACATTAATGTACATACGTTGAAAAGTCATTTGACGTATCTGGATAAGTGCAGAGACCACCATTCCGTTGGCAGAAGCCGCAAGCAGGCCGGACGTTATCACACTTCGTCTTGCGGACCCGGCATGGCCCACACGCCGCAACGGCGCGTCTCCGCTGGTACATACCCGACGTACGGCGCCTCTTGTTCCCCGTGTCAGGGGTTTCGGAGCCCCCATCGACGCCGGACATGACTGTGTCGCAAAGCAGTTACTTGGATAAGACAACCAGCTGTGGAGCTATCCGGGCCTTCTTCGTAACATACGACGGGCTCCGTCCGAGTTGGCGTTCTGGAAATCGTGGAGTTGTGTCAGTTGGTGAGTCGGCAATCAGAAGGGCGGGGAGTAGCGGAGATATGAAGAAAACATCTGAAGAACGCGAAAGCGAGAACAACAGGGATCTTCCGACCAGGGATAACTGGGGTCAGCAGCCTGTTGCGGCTAGTGTACTCGCTGCCCTGAATCATGGCCATCAGATTGTGAATAAGCACAGTTCTAGAATCATAATGCCTGAATCATTGACAGCGACAATACAGCATGGATCGCGATTTCGTTTGAAAAGCTTATTTCGAGATTGTTTCAAACAGTGATGCAAAGTTGTGAGGAGGCATTTTACCACGAGAAGATGCTGATAATTTGCAGGTTAGGTTTCGTATGTGGACGGGCGAGAAGTCAGTCCCTACTTGCAAGAGTGAATGGTGATCAGTTTTTAAGATACATGTATGTGATTGGACGACATTCTAATAACATTCTGTTAATTTGGAACAGTTCCAAATACTCAGCATCGATATCTGTGCAGTTCATCCCTACTATTCCAACATGATGGGTTGGGAATCAACCATGCGTTCCAGCTGTTTCTTGATGGCTGTGTGTCCCCAGTAGGTCAGCGCAACGGACGCCAGGAAGATGAAACCGGACACCGAAATCATCCATATAAGATTTCGGATGTATCCTTTAGTCCAGCTCCTCTTAGAAGCGCTCTGGAGGTCATCAATATTAAGCATATCAACGCCCTCTCTCGTCAGAACCTCCCAGATGTAGTCTCGGTACGAGATAGGCCAGTCAGGTACGTCCCAATAACGAGTCTTCAAACCTGACCATCTGGCTGTCTCAACTTGCTCCCGCAGAGTTTTGAGCTGAGAGTTACTGAAACCAGTGCGGACCGATCCGATGCTTTGCTTGAAGGAAACCGACGTGTAGTAAGCGTCTTCTTTATCCCACATAACACTTGCTCCCCAGCCGTCCCCCCAATGCTCAATGGTGTTCTCATGAGGAAGACGGCCGAGTGGTGCATCAAGGAAGGCGTCGTGATACTCGCTGTAATGCGGATCGTCGGGCCAAACATTCGTCCAGCGCTTCTCCACAAGATCACCAGTACCAACCACTGTTACAGGACCTGGCCACAGACGCTGCTTATACGAGAATCCAGGCGCTGTATAGACAGCCTCGTAGCGGGCAAGAAACATTTGATCTCTGAGGGCTTGCAGTTGCTGCATGACAATGGGCCATGTTCTGTGAGCATCATCCTTTACATCAAGGAGAAGCACAAGAGTGATGTTAGGCTGGCTCCTGAAGACGCCCTGGGCTCGATCAGTTCGACTGAAATTTGACCAGGTTTGGGGAGTGTTCATCTTGTTCAAGATCCCGAGCAAAGGATCGAGATAAAGCGAACGCAGTGTCTTGTCCGGTGAGAGTGTTTCCCTATCGTGCCCAACCAAGATATCCGAGCCATCGTCGCTGAGCCACACGTCGGCTTCCACACCTGTGCATCCGGCGGCCAGGGCAGAGAACAGAGGATATTTCCTCCAATAATCATTGTGTGAGTGACACATTATTGGAACAACCGAACGGGAAAAGTCTTCAGTCCATCGTGCGAGGCCGTCGACGGGGTGGCCATCGGCATCTACCGGATAATGCGAAATGAAACTCTCGGAAGCCAATCGACGAAAGGCTTCAGGCTGCAGAATGAATATGAAGAGGTAAAGTAGGGTTCTGTCGTTTATGAGTATCAGAGGAGTCGCACGCGAAACCAAGGTATGCGTGCTCACATGAGTATTGTGGTTCCAATTGTTGCCGAGCATCCCAAAGCGATGAGTTGCCAGAAAGCTCTCGGTTTCCGCACGCGTTTCGAACTGCGGGCTTGATGTTGAACCCATTTGACACACGCAGTGATGGGTTTCAATATTGTCCAGGACTGGGATGGAGAAATATTTGCGTCGTTTCGATTTGATTGTGCCGTTCCCGCGAATCTTATCGGCGATGTATCGGTGCGCGAAGGGCCAAGAACATCATCGTCAGTTGAGGGCAGTTCCGAAGTAGCTTCCATGATAGCGGGATAAACTGAAATTTTCAGGATGTTAAAAGTGACTTTGGGCTGGGAGAGGTCATCTCTTGAACCTCATAGAATGCGCTCGTACGGCGCTCGAAGCGAGCGGCACAGCAGAATATCCACACTAGGCATCAACATAAAGTCTTGGCTGTACCGTTCATCTTCTCCCTTACATGAATTTACAGATTCATGTTCGTTTTAATTGGAATGTCCTTCAAGGATGAAAGTATTGGAGCTGGAACAATCCCGAAGCTTGGCTGCATCTCTAGAATGAGTACATGTTTACGCGTCTGCTTCTCCGTCCGACTCAACTCTATGCATGGCTTTTGCTCTTCGCTGCACCCAAGCTTCGCAACCGATCTCCTCGTATTTGGGCTTCTCTCCGTCTTTGACACATGTCTCCACAACTCCGCAGCTCTCATGTAAACCAAATCCAAAAAAGAAGGGCATGCTGATTCGTTCCTGACCACTGAGATTCTGGGCTCGGTGCACAGTACTGACGTAAAGGTCGTTGGTGATGCGTTGAAGGTAGTCGGCAATGTTTACCACAAAGGTCCCGGGTAAGGGAGCCGCCCTGATCCACTGGCCCTGACGGTTGAGGACCTGCAGTCCACCAACTGCGTCTTGCCAGAGAATAGTGAAGAGCTGGAAATCCGTATGGGATCCAATTGAAACTTGCGCATCCCCATTTGACAGAGTAGCTTGAGATGTCTTTGACAGTGGAGGATAGTAGTTGAGTGCTAAAGCAGCATCGGGATACTTGAACTTTGCATCAAAGTGTTCTTCAGGTAGATCCAGAGACAACGCAAAGGCACGCACCAAGACGCGCGCAAGCTTGAGACACGACTGCCAGTAGCGGATGATGGAGTTCTGAAAATTCGGTTGATTGGATGCTCCTTCCCAGTGAAAATCCTCGATCCGAAGAAAACGCCTCGCATCTTCTGGGATTGAGACGACATCGTCAACATCGGGGTCATGCCGAGGATCATACGTCCAGCTGAAAGTCTCTCTCACGTCGATGCTTTCCGACTTGTTGATACGCTGTGAACCGGGCGGCTTATAGCCGTTGAAGTACCGGCTCTTACCCACCCAGGATCGCATCTTGTCCTCTTCATCTTGGCGAAAATAATGAAGACAAGCTTCGTGGGCAGAGTCGGTAATGGACGAATCAATGCCGTGATTGATGATGTAAAAGAACCCAGATGTTGTGGCGGCTTTCCGAATTTGCTGTGCCACGCCCTTTCGATCGTCGATGTCCTCGCTGAAGGATGGGGATATGTCGATAATCGGGATTTCGGTGGGTAGGGCATCGCGGAGAGGTTTGCGGAGAATCCGGCGTGTAACCGGGCCGTTCCCCGAAGCGAAGCGGAGGACCGTAGTCTCCGGCTCAGGAATAGTAGCTTCAACGCTCATGAGAGACCACTTCGTGACGATTTGTTTGACAAAAATAAGAAGTCAATGAGTTTGGCAAACTACAAGATGTTTACCAAGTATTGGTAGCAGTCTGTTGTAGACAATATTAGCAGGTTAAAAATAAGAAGTTGCGGGGTGATACGGAGCGATAAGAGATTTGAATGTCGAGAAGCGGGGTTGGAATCATGAAATATGATTGGTATTTGATAAGAAGCTAGAAACATGTCGTCGGAGATGGCCGCTTGGTTCTTTTCTTCTTATCTGACTCGTTCAGGTTCGAGTTTCTTTTCCCTATCCAGACCTTCACCATCATACAAGTACTCACAGACTAAATAGTCTGAAATTTTGGTGCTCAGCAATCCATGTAAACAGCTATCGTGTACAAGTTAACGTCAAAAGTTCTGAAGAATCTGAGGCTTGTCTCACCATTTGCGTATAACGAATAATTGTCGGCGTTTTGAAGGGCTCGATCCGGTGACAATGCAACGCTCGCGTTGTATGCATAAGCATAGTCATTGGTATGAGGTTCATACACGCCCGGGTTGTGTGTTGTCTCATGTATTGTAGTGGTAGCTTGGCATTGTCGATGGCAGCCTTCAGGAAGGGGTGGCAGGCCGTAAAACAGGGGACACATGACCATCGTGTTGACATCCCAGGCCGTGTAAGCATTGAGCGGCCCATCAATGTCACATACACCATAGTAGTCGTAGCAAAAGAAGCGAGAGACTCCCGAGTCCGTGGTAGAGCATTCTTGTGCCACGTTCCGAAGCCTTGTTGCAACAATGTTGCGAGTGTCTGACGAGTTGGTTCCGAAGTACTCGACAAACCTCTTGGATGACGAATCTGATGCGTCTGCAGCGGCGGCAAGAGCCAAATTTTGACAGTTTGCCAAAGCTTTGACACTGACTTCTAGCGTTGTTTCATTACAACCAGGTTGCAAGTTGGTTCGCTCTCCGAGAGCTGAGGTTATCAAAGACACGCTAGCAGTGTTTGCATTAACTTCGAGCGTGACAGTGTTTGACTTGAAAGCAACAGCAGGCTCCGAGAAGTCTGTAGATGAGGTCAAGGCGACGGGTATGACGCCTTCTGCAGTAAACGAGAAAGTGCCTGACTTGTCAAATCGATGCACCTTGCCAGCGTCGATGTTCACAGTAACGGACTCTCCGGCTGCAAGATGCTGAAAATGACCCAGCTTCAGGGCGTTGTATCGAAGACTTGGCTCGATGCCAATGAATGGAACTTGACTTCCTGTGACAAGGTCAGCAACAATCTTCCCTAACTGCATGTGGATCTAGGGACATACCCGCATCGTCCAACACGATGAGTCGCTGAACAGGAAGGTTGCTGTCCAAAATAGTGCCAACTTTGAGCAGATTGAGGTCGGTGTTGCCGGCGTTCTTGATCGTTGCGACCACTTCGGCAGACCCGTAGGTGAGAGGCGCGGCCAGTGTCACATCGAGCCCGGAACTTCGCTTATTGAGTTGGAGGCCATGAGCATCAACAGCAGCTAAGGCTGCTAGGGCAGAGAATATTTGCCAAAACATTGCAAGTCGCGTACCGAACAAGATGAAAAGCCTGAATGCGAGAGTCTCCCGTGGTAATGATCAAATATTTAAGTCCTGATGGCTCAACAAGCCAAGACAACATGGCTAAGTATATGCTTGTCAATCTTTCTCGATGAGGCAGGAGACCATACCGGTGCGCATTCCAAGAGCATTCGTAATTTAAACGGTCCAATGACGGGATTTCAAACTCGTATTCAGTTGTTTAATGCTTGTATGGTAGCATCGGCCACCGACGGGATGGTGGGGCCGAGCGAGTTAGTGATAAGAGCTCCGAACATCTACATGAGTGAGTGCTGGAGTAACGACTCAACCTGGGATAATAGAATGCTTTATTTCAGTTCTTTTCCCCGTTTGGCCCATATAAAACAGCCCTCCTCAAATCCATCCTGATTCCAGCATTGAAGCCTGACCATATGGAATTTCCTGGCCCAAACAGACAATTACTACACACAGCAGAGCAGTGAGATCTCTCGATGCTCTCAATTAAAGACGGATGTCCAATGGAATGAGATGTGGATTTCTAACTCACAGTCAACCACGCACGTCTGCAATATTTCAACCCGACGCTCTATCTCACTCTACACGTCCCTGCTGAGCCACCAAGCCGCTTCAGTACCTTATCGCCCCCCGGGTATAATCCCATTGGGCCACTGTAGTCTTTTTCTCTCGACAAGCTTCGGGCGATTTCTTTAGCAGTAAATCGAATCTCATCGCATGGGATATGTGGGATCGAGGTTTAGTTTCTATGTTGTCTAAATATTTGTGTTGTGGCATTTGCTCCTCTGAGATTCGAACGACTTCTACACAGAGATTAATCAAACTGAGTCTTCCCAAGATGATTTTACTCTATGCGGATCTTAGGCATAATAGATAAGTTTAGTTAGTGGAATACAATATCTCGTAACAATGGAATGTGTGACGCAAACTTGTTCATATAAACCTGGGGATTTATCTAACTTATCTATCTACATCTACATTGTCTGTCGTTGACGCTTCTAGATATAATCTCAGCGCAACGTCTGCTGTTTAAAGCTTTCAACTTACCTCCAAAACTTCGCAGAACATATTTTCCGTTGTCGTGAGCGGTTCAGTAGGACAAACTTACAAAAAGGCGCCGTGGCCCGGGATGTAAGACAGACAGCAGAGTTTTGAGCTTTCGTTCCCAAAAGACTTAGGCTTCGCATTGAACGATGCGGTGTTATCTCAGCTAAAACTGCCACAGTCTACATCACAAATCTAAAACTAATAATACTTGATATGTTGCATTTGGTGCGCGCACAGTTCTTATTATGTTTCTTCAATGACATGCTTAGTTGTACGTACGGCTGGCTAGGAGGGGGCTTCCAGTAGGTGCGAAGCTCTTGCGAACGTCCCGGCATGGTCTTGAGCAATTTTCTTGCTTAGGACATGCTCCGTAACACATAGGAACACATAGAAAGACTTCTTTTGCCCTTGGAACATCATATAGTAGCCCCTTCTTCCAAAAGCGGCAATATATTGGCTACCAGTGAGCGGAGCATGGATGATCCTCAGGAGAGTAGCGCCGTTCGGTGGTAAGACGCCGGGACCGACATTATGGACCGAAGTGCGGGGGAAGCTCCGGACTATTCCCGAAAATCGGGGAAGACTGGCACACACCTAAGCTTACGGGGAGTATCGGCGGTGTTCCCGCCTCCACAATCCCCGCCCCCTCAGTATCGCGACAACTAGTGGGGTGAGTCTTCACACGTTCGAGGTCATCATGGGGACGGAGTTGACACATCTAAGCGTATTAGCCGGTCATATGCGGATCACTCCGCCATCACGATGCCGGGCCGGGTCTCCGCCAGGGAGATTGCTAAGGGGGATTTATCAGCTTCCCCTCCCATAAATACATCCCATTCGCGCAAAATACGAACTTGAAGTTGTTGCCGCAACCTCATTTTCACGTCTGTATCTCTCAACTTCAGTAAAACAATGTCTTCCGAGATCCCTACCCTCCGCTGGGGCATTATCGCCACTGGACTGATTTCGTCATGGTTCGTTGAGGATCTGGTGCTAGAGCGCTCTGACGCGAAGGCCAAGCACATTGTCCAATCGATTGGGTCATCTTCAACAGAGAAGGGAAAGGCCTTCGTTGAGAAACACCTCCCTGGTCACAACCCGACTGTCTACGGCAGCTACACTGAGGTTTACAATGACCCCAACGTTGACATCGTCTACATCGGCACGCCGCACGCTTTCCACAAACAAAACTGCCTCGATGCTATCAACGCCGGAAAGAACGTTCTTTGCGAAAAGGCATTCACTATTACTGCGAAGGAGTCACGGGAGGTCTTCGAGGCTGCGAAGAAGAAGGGTGTATTTGTCATGGAGGCTATGTGGACACGGTTCTTCCCCCTGACGCGCTCTCTTCTGAACGTTCTGCACACGGAGAAGCAGATTGGAGATATTCACCGCGTCTTCTGCGATTTCGCCATGAACATGAACCTCGCTTCCCTCGGCCCCGACTCCCGCCTCAAGAACCCCGCCCTCGGTGCTGGAAGTCTCCTCGACATTGGTGTATACAGCTTGACCTTTACCATCCTTGGATTAGACCCCGGTGTCGGCGAGAAAGCCGAAAAGCCCAAGATCGCTGCTACTCAGACTCTTTCCGACGATATCGACATCGCTACTTCCGCCCTCCTTCTCTACCCCGGTGGGAAGCAGGGAATTCTCACATGCTCGACTCAGGTCAAGACTCCCCCGGCCTTCTGCAGAATTGAGGGAAGCGATGGCTTTGTTCTCGTTGAGGGCATTGCTACTTCTGTTCCCGGATCATTCACCGTCTACTCGTCTAAGGCTTCTGGTGAGGGTTGGACTGAGTCTTCGACGCCTGGTCTCAAGGCCAAGACATACGAGTTTGAGAGACCGGGCAAGGGCTTCTACTGGGAGGCCGATGCCGTCGCTCTGGACATTGCTGCAGGAAGAAAAGAAAGCGAAATCATGCCTTGGGCCGAGACCGTTCGTGTTATGGAAATCATGGACGAGATCAGAAAGCAGGGCGGTGCGAGGTTTCCTCAAGACAGCCAATAGACGTTTGAGCTGGATTTGATTGATGATAGAAGATAGATGCAACAACGATATCCCCTTAGAAGCAAACATGAATCCCGGGAGCATTATTTTCAAGGTAACGTGAATATAAGCTGTGATTATATCTTACTCGTGCAATCGAACCATTTGCCGAGTATCACAGATCTTGCGGCAAGCACTAGTAGCCCGCCCATAAGAACGACACCAAGGTATAGTCCAGACAATGCGGTTGAGCCCAAAGATTCAAGCATTTGGCCACCGATTGGCATGGTCAGGAGCAACGAAAAGCTGATTACGAAGTTCATGGACCCTAGAGAAGAAAGAATGAGAAACTTGTTTGGCGCGTGATGCTTGATAGACGTACCGTAGTATCTCCCGTAATCTTTAGAGTCGCAAGTTTTGCCAACACACACTGTTTTGATTTGGAATGTCAGTTGGAGAACGGAAAATGACGGTATCAACTCCATCAAGCAAGCTCTACTCACCTGGCGTCAATGACAAGAATGACCCCGTACCAAACCCCCATAATGCCGAGAAAGCGTACAAAGCCTCGATACGATTTGAACCAAATGCCGTTAGAGTGGCTGCCGTAGATACCAAAGTGAAGAAAACCATGGCTAGTAGAACGTTGAAGTGTCCCCAGTAATCGCCTGCTATCCCAGGTAGGATTCGGCCGAAACATGACAAGGCATTCAGAATAGCAACCATGTCGTAGCCATATTTAACTGGAAATCCGGCCCACGCAACAAGCGTTGGTAGTATTGCTGTAGCTCCGAAAATGACGAATTCGAGGAGGAAGATGGCGCAAGTAACAAGAGAAAATGCAACTGAGCGAAAAGCCGAAAAGTCCATTGCTGCGCTTCGCTTGGTCCGCAAAGATCCATGATCGCGCCTTTGAGCATCTCGTAATAGACTCGGAAATGGAATAAGACAAATGATGCCCAAGACCATGATACCAAGGACAATAAAACCAACTGCTCTCAGGGACCATTTCCAACCCCACATTGGAAACATTTGTCGGAGAGCCAGAGGGAATATGATGCCTCCAGTAGATGAGCCAGCTAGAGCAAGCCCCATAGCCAGCCCACGTCGTCGAAGAAAGAGCTTTCCTATAACAGCAATCCCAATAGTTGTAGAGATAGCATTACTAATTCCGCCCAATACGCCTAAACATAGTATGAGTTGCCAGTACTTTCCACATTCTGCAAGCAAGAAGAACATTGGAACAGAGCACATAGCTGCCAAAGGCCCGAGCAATTTTGAACCAAACCTATCCACCAGCGGACCGGTTTGAATGCCGAGAAACATCGTGAGAAAAGTATAGACTCCGGTTATCCAGCCAATATCTCGTGCTGAATATCCTTCGAGTTGATTCTCCTGCAAGAATACCTGAACTGTTCCAACAGACTGGATGAAGCCTACACAAGTTGAATTTAGCTCAGTCACAGGTACCGACGTGTTGAGATAGCGTACCGAAGGAAGGCATGAGAAACAGGAAAGATCCGAGAACGCATAACCAAGCTGCCTTTCGTTCTTCAACCTCTAGAACGCCGCCTCTTTCCGGGGTCGATGGACTATTCTGATCACCTTCAAGCTCCTCAGGTTCGGTACCTCTCGTGGGATGACTGTCGTATTCCTCAAGACCTGCCATTTTTCCGGGTGAAGAATACTTTCTGTCGATTAAGACACTGATCTCAAAAGACATCCAAACCTGAAGCGAAAGATGCCAGGTCTTAATACGTGATTGAATTGACCTTCAGACGAGGCGGAGTTGGCGGAGTTGCTGTGGGGTACCGTACAAAGTCGGGCCTGGTTTCCGTACGCTCTTGCTGCTGATGCTCATATTTCCTCGTTTAAGCGACCTTTCCCCGAGATCGTTGGGTACGGCGAATTGAAACGGACTGAACATGCTGATGCGCACGTGTCATCGTTTTAGCGACATTTCCCCGAAATTGTACAAACCTACATGACCAAGACGACCAGCGGTCATTACGTGGACAATATGAGAGGATTGCATGAATACATCCCAGCTAGAGAAGCGTGACACTGCCTGTTAGAGACCTCAGGAGCTTTGCACGTTGTGCTCGCTGCGGTAATCCTGGTGGCAATCTAGACTAGAGGTAATCATCCTCGCACCCGTTGTTGTAGTTGGAGACTCCGGCAATTCAACACGTGGTTTTGTCTAAGTTGAGGATTATTAAAGAAGTGGGCGGCTACTTTCCCAGCTATCATCTTGAGCTTGCCGCTTAGAAGTAAAAGGGTGTCCAATAATAGATGAAAAACACGATGCTGGCTTCTCAGATGCCAGGCGGAATGGCAGCTATGTGCCCGTTAACAACTCAACTTTGCGGGAAGTGGAGAGGGATGAATGAAACTCTTAGGTCTTCTATTATCTTGTGTCTGATTACAAGTTAAGCTTGTTAGTTAGATTATTTGAATGTAACTATGTTATGTAGGAAGTTGCGCGTCTAATTGTGCCCCTAAACGTCTTGTTTATTGCAATCTACCTATCTGGAAGACATCCGATATCACCAAAGGCTAACGCCTAAAGTGCATTGCTTTTATAGAGCAGCGCATCTCAGTTTTGAATGACCCTTCACTTGTGAGTTATCACTAGAGAAACAGTAGCCGGGCGTCTAACAGTCCTAGAATCGCACGAAAGATGACCGTCGATGAAGTTGCATCCACTATTCTTCGGGGAGAGCTCTCAAGTCTTCGAAGAAAAGCTCAGGAACATGAAAACTAATCATTCATTGATGTCAACGCCCGCGTTGAATATATATATTTCACTTTCGACAATTTGCTTCCATGTCCAGAGCATATTTCCCGGACCTGCCTGGACATGGCTTCTTTCGATACTCGCCTGCACCGCAACATTTCTCACGTGTTACACGGCTGGCGCCTACGCACCACCAGATCTTCTCATGCAAAATCCTGTCTTCGCTATCAGCGCGGTCGTCTACACTGCCTTCCAAGTTGCATGTGGTGGCGTTACGTCTCTTGCGGGTATGCTCGTTGCTCGCTTCTTTGCCGGCGTCGGCGCCAGCGTCTTCAGCAACATGGTTGGCAGTTTTCGACCTCTGTGACAAAAAGGACCGCAACACCTTCATGGCCGTCTTTAGTGGTGCTGTCATGGTGGGAATGGCAGCCAGCTCAATTTTAACCGCTGGAATTGTGCACTTTTTGGCAACGATGAGATACGTTCCGGCCGGGAATGGGTGTTCTGGCATATGGCAATTTTGACGAGAGCAACAGCAAAATTGCTACTGTTTTTCCATACGAGAGAGCAGGGGGCCAACATTGTTGCCTAGGAAAGCAAGGTCACTCAATAAGTGGTACGAAGAACGTGAGGCAGCCGGGTTGTACGGAGTCTGGTTTCCTGTCTTGGAACTCAGAGAACCATCAAATATTTGCAACCCAAGCGAATTCGATGTGACGTCAAAGAGGCCAAGAACAGCACATATGTCACCCACATGATGGCAATTCCTGGTTTTTAACCTTTCCGTCTCTTGTTCACTGGACCTGTCGTCTTTTTATTCGCGCTGTGACCGTTATTTACTGTCATTTGACTGGGCAGTTCTCTTGACGTTTGAGTCAAGCGCGATCTTCTACGAACGCATCTACCGCATGAATCCATTCAGATCAAGTGCGGCATTCTCCTCTCTCATCATCGGTGGTACTTTCGCTGCATCTTTGTGCATTTGGTAGGAGAGGTTGTTGCACACTCCCCGATGGCAGGCGGATAAACCGGTCAAGGCGGGCTCGAAATCATGGGCCTTCATGCCTCTCTATTTCCCGGTCAAGATTCCTGAATGCAGACTCTATTTCACCTGCGTCACATTACTTCTTTTATCTGTTGGATTTTTCCAATTCGGTTCGCTCTTCACGCCTGAAGTGCATACATCACACTGTGCCGGCTGCTGCTATTGGTTTGGAGACTATTGATATCTACTCCGTCTACCTTGCCACTTTCAACCACATTGCCAATGCCTATGGTCGATGCGCTCCCTCGGCACTGGCTTCCCCATCGATTTGTCGAAACATCACGTGTCGCACCTTTCCGTAATTAACGACCGTCTTATTGATTAGTCTGGGGGAAGCACGTGCCCGTGTGCTTCTTGAAGGCATCGTCACTACACTCGGAGTTGTTCCATGGGTACTAGTTTTCTTCAGACAAATAATGCGAAGGTGAAGTCAGTTTGCGCAGGTATGTCTGCAGGTACTAATCTCGAAAGGAGGCTAGTAGCGGCTACTATTGATCGCTAACTGTCGTACTCATTCGAAATGTTGTAGCTAGGGTGTTCTAGACCACGACGAAGTCGACAATTATGTCAGAGAACAAAATTTCCGAGGCATCCAGGCTTTGTATCTCTAGAAGAACGGCCAGGGAGGTATTGATGAGATATGGCCGTCGAAGACAGCTGGAGTCTTCAGACGATTCGGCCGAGTTTCGATTACATGGATTTTAAAAGTCACCACGCCATTAATACGACTCAAGAGCCGTGCCGTGCGTGCGGGAGATCGTCACTTGACACCGCCCTGACCGATTTCTCCGTGAAATTCTCCGGGGCCTTGCCATTATTGGCTCTTTGCCGATGACGACTAATGGCGCCATCGCATCAACCCCAGATTTTATTCCACGAACAGTCTTTTGAGTTCGCAAGGTGGTTGTAAGCCAATATCCAAGAACGATGCAGTTTCCCAACTCAGCTGTGCTCCGTTGACCGGGAGTTGCCAGGCATGATGATCGGCAAGCTGAGGCTCAAGGCGAAAAGGAGATGTATGACTTCTTACCGTGCTTTTATGCTATATAAATGATCAGTAACTCCCATGATCCAAGGACTGTGATGTCGAACAAATTACTCAACAGCAATAGTTGCATGCACTCAAGATGCTCCCTCAATTATCCCTTCTCGTAGCCGCGTTCCCGCTCTTGGCGATTGCCGTGCCTTCGCCGTCGCCCTTCGAGCACAGCAAAAGGGCTATCACATGCCTCAAAGTTGGTGCTACCGCAACCGCAAGATGGACAAACAGTGCCGGCAAATCGTGCACCTTTACCGGCGTCGTCGGAAGCAACTACGGCGCTAACAGCGCTGGGTCTGGAGAGTAAAGAACCCCGAATAGCTGATACTCCTAGGTTGAAGCCTTTTATTGACTCTATGAACTTCAGTTACTCTTGCAACGGCCGCTGTGGTGCGGGTTGCACTGGTGCTTCTTTGGGCAATGCCTATACTCAGGATTGCTTCTCCCATGACATCTGCTCTTACTTCAACAATGCCAGTGGAGGCGCGAGGTGAGATAAATCCCTATCTCATTAGTATTTTGACGCTCTGAATTGCTAACGAGGACTTTTAAGCGACCCTAACTGCGGTGCTGCGTACAACTCAGCTGTCGATGACACCGCCCTGGGCGTTGCCAACGGCTGCGGGCAGACCAATCCGTCGAACTCGGTGTCAAAACCTTCCTCACAACCCGTCTGTACTTAGACTAGATTTGTGCCAATTTACTCATTGGCTTTGCAGCGAATGGTGTAACACAACCAAAGTTCATCCTTCTCTTCATCTTGACTGACAACGTTGTGTTCTCACCCGTCGTAACCGCATTTTTGCAATACGAGCGCCCTATTTGGTGTTTTCAATTCAACGACTGCTCTGCTTGCGGATTGTTGATGATCTGTGTGTTCATGAGTGTAATCAAGCAAACGCAATTTGGTTCACAAAACGAATGCTGAACTTGATGGAAGACTTTGATGTTAAGGCTACATACGCGAGGATAAGTAGAGAAGTAAAGGCAATGTACAGGGGCTGCCCGTGTCGGCATTTCCAGTTTGCTGAAAGTCGCATTACGTAGTTGCGAATCGGCAAACAATCTGATTGACTTAGTTTCTAGTCCCCAACGCAAGAAACCGAGGCGAGCGGTGTAGCCTTTTGGTAGTCAGGGGAAAGAAAGAAACAAAAGGGGGAAAGAGAGCAAGTCGTAATGGTTAAATTGAGACTGGAGTAATGAGAGTCCGGAGCTCAATAATTAAGAACCTTCTGCCACTTGAGACGTTGGGTGTGAGGAGTGCGCTCTTGGGATTAATGCGTCGTTGAGCGAAGGAAGCGCTCTTTCAGCTTCCATGAGCTGGTGCGGTACCCTACTGAGAGGCCTCATGATCATTCATCTCCCTGCTGCCGGAATGCCGATGGCCGATGCGGCTGGCGTGTGTCGCCGCAGTATCAGTTTGGCCGTGATTGGGCATATGGTAACGAGGCCTCCATCTGTAAACGTCGGGTTGCTGCCCATATGGGTTTTGATCGGTTGACCCAGGGAGAACAGCAGACGATTGTTGGTTGGAGGTCTGGGGCTGTTGGGGGACCTGGCCTCTGTCAGGAACGGCCTCTTGTATGGTCAGGATACGTCCACTCTCGTTATAAACTTGCTGACCAGTCTCCTGAGTAGCACTGGTGACCTGGCCGTCGTGAAGAGAAGCTGGATGATGCATGGTACTGGCGTTTCTTTGAAGGTTGGCGGTGGGAAGGGATTGATGAATGTGTCTCGAAAGCTGATTCAATGTCGCGTTGGAGGCCGCACCATGGGCTCCTGGATACTGTTGATAGACACGGTTGCTTGCGGCTGAGCGCTGGGAATAGCCATTGCCGGTATTCCAGCCATCTTGAGAACCAGGGGTAGTGGGGAATTGGTGACTGAAGCCGAACTGGGGGCCATGATGATGATGGTTGAATGTCTGCTGGGATCCCGAGGTAGAATCAAGGTAGCTTTCTGAGCGCTGAAATATCAAAGGATTCGACAACTGAGGTGCGTTTCTCGCGGGCATGCGAGACTGTTGTGACGCAATACCCATAGTGCCCATACAGTTGGTTGAAAGACTGTCGTAGGACATGCCAGAGCCTGACGATCGATGGGCTGAAGGGACATGGGCAGGCATATTCATGGTCGTATGGTATGCTGATGAGGGCGTTCCCTGAAGCTGGCAACGATAAGCAACAAAGCTCCTCTCATGTATATGGACGAGTTTACTTACCTGGGGTCTGTTCAGGGTTCCGTTGTGAGCAATGGTGGAGGCTTCATGTTGACCCATTATTGCGGCAGGGAGGGTTCTTTGGGCCGCTAGGCGTCTAGAGTCTTGCTGATTCTGTCGATCCTCGGACTCCTCGTCTTCTTCTTCGTCTTCAACTGACATGTTTCTTTTCCGTTTCTTTCCTTCTTTCAAAGCTGCTTTTCCCTTCTTTCTCAGGGGACAGGGTTTGTCAACCCCGTTGAGAATGTCGCGGAGATGCTCGACGAAGGGCATCACATGATTGCTTTCCCGCCAGTACAGAGGTATATCGTCATCGTCATGGACGTCGTGGAGGAGAACGGCCGAATACCACTCATGATAGGGACGGCGGTCGCAGCCGTGCATCATGTCCCTATCGCTCGGGATGTTGTTGTTGAGAAGGTCGTTCAGGATCTGCTGCCGCGTAGCCAGTTTGATGTAAAGTCCGCCTAAACAACGCTGGTTGATGTCTCGAAGAAATAGAAGGGCCCGATGCTGGGGTCCGCCATGAGGAACTCTGTTGATAGCGCTTTCGATGTCTCTGGTGAGATCTTCGTCCGTCTTCTTGCCCTGTCCCTTGCCGTCCGCTTTCTTCCCTCGGTCGTCGGCCATCGTCGTCTTCTTTGGTCGCGTTCTTTGACTTTTAGTTGTTTTCGTCCTTTTTCCAGTCGTCTCCGAGATCTGGAAGATATCCCTTTGTTGTCCGTCGTGATAAAGTAAAGAATCGCTTGGGTGGTGGTGATGGAATGGATTTTGGTGAGAGGATCTGATCTGAAAGAGTTCTACTGAAAAAGTTTTCACTTCCAAAGAGGACCGGGAAGAACCAAGGTGAATGGGAAATCTAAGAAATGTAGCAGGAAGGAGTGTCTTGACGACTAATCGACTGGGAGTCTATCGTGTACTGCTCTCCGCTCGTGAGCGTTGCTGCTTGAGAAACGGCCGTACCTATTTGCCGGGCAGCCACCCCTCTATCTGGCCAATCGCACCGCAAAATCACCACAACGGTTGAAATCAAGCCAACTCGACCTGCCTAACTTTGCCTTCCTTGGACTCGTCGCCCTCTCCACCTTCAATATCCGCCTCCTTGTTGGTCTTCTCAGACTTTCCTTCGAAGACCTCCCTGATCTCTTCGAGAGTATGACCCTTCGTCTCGGGGAACAAGAACCAAATCAGAACCAACAACAGCCCGAGAATACAGCAAAAGACGATATAGTACTTCCATGCGATTGTCTTCATAGCAATTGGGTTGACCTGGTTGCCAATGATGAGACCAGTGAAGGCGGTGACATACGTGACAGAGAGCCCGCGACCACGCAAAGTGTAGGGGAAGATTTCCACTGGGTAGGCCTGCAACAGGGGCGTCCAGGCGATGTCGTAGAAGAAATAGAAGATGAAGATGAACCCCACGACGGCTCTGCCAGTAGCCTCGTTCTGACTGGTAACAAAGTGAGATGTGAGGCCTGTCCAGATGATGTAGCTCACGAGCATGCCTCCAGTGGAAACAAGGAACAGTGGACGACGACCAAACCGGTCCACCATGAGGGCCCCGAGGAAAGTTGAAATGAGCCAGTTGTAGATTTGCAAGATTCCGTTGATGAGAGTCTGGTCCTTGACCTCAGTGATGCCGATTGTATTGAGGACCCTATCAGAAGAAAATATGTCAGCCAAGCAGAGGTCGATGGCCCAGGATAAACTCACAAGTTGATGTAGTAGCTGACTACACTGACACCGTTCTATACCGTCCAGGTTAGCGTACTTCAGTATTCCACGCGGGTAGTACGAACCCATTGACTAAAGAAGCCAACGATGACTGCAAGGAGAGTTCGCTTCCGATTCGCCGGGCTTCGGACGAGGTCAAACCAGGAAGACTTTGACATAGCTTCAGCTTCTTCACTCAGGGTTTGCTCGACTTCGCGCATCTCGAACTCGACCAAAGGGCTATGAAGGTCACCGCCAGCATGGCAGTCTGCAAAGACCTTTCGCGCTTCCTCTTTGCGGCCTCGACTCATGAGCCAGCTGTACCAGTTGATGTAAGTCTCTGTTTGCATATATGGTAGGGCATACTTTCAACGCACCGAGGAGACTCTGGAAGGAAGAAGAGTCCGACAAGCTGGATGACTGGAATGGCTCCTTGCAAGATGGAGGGAATTCTCCAACTCCACGACGTAGGGTTTTTGAAAGTGCCGTACGTACACCACGCCGCGAAAATGGATCCGAAATACTACCACACAGCGTCAGCCTCATTTCTTGCTCGATAATTGGATGACTAGAGGACTTACAAAGAAGGTATTATACATTGCCGTCACCTTGCCTCGCTGGGTCGGATACGCCAGCTCAGTAATGATAATAGGGCTCGGTTGGCTGATGAAAGTGGTGAAGAATCCCAGAAGGGCTCTTGCTGTGACGAAGCTGGCTAGGTCTTGAGCCATTCCTTGGAGAATGGCAAAGCCAATGCAGGCAATAAGCCCAATGAAGATTGGAAGCTTCCGTCCCCAGCGGTCAGAAACATAAGTAACGACGAATAGGCGACAACTTTTCCGAGAGGATATACGGCATTCATCAGCCCGAGTATTGCACCCTCTGGGTTGTCGAAGAAGCCGCGCCATTGTGGAAGAGTCTGGAGGCCATTCATCATGGATCCTAGATGTAGACTCTTGTCGGTCAACTGGTCAATGGAGGATTGGGAATTCAAGCCACGGCTTACCATCGTAACCAACGGAGGCGGAAGAAAATAAAGGCACCAACAAAACCAGATTCAGTTTGAGCAGATGCGGAGTCAAATACCATGCCTTTGGGTTTGTTGGAAGCACCTAAATATTTCGTAAGTCGGTGCTGTTGAACAGTCAAAGAACGGTAAAGAGATCGTACCGCCGTCAGAGCTGAACCAACAGCAAGCTCCGCTTCCTTCTTCTTCCCGAACAGACCCATAATCGAAGATGTCCCTGTCACACGCAGGAAATTCGTTTGAAAATTTCTGGGAGGAAGTCGTCAAGTCCGGGACCAACAGAAGTCGACCAAAGACAGGATATCGCAAGAAACATCAACACCAGCAAACTTGGTGAGAACGAGGGGAACCATGTCATTTATTCCTCCTCATATCCACCCCATTTCGCATAACCAACAACAGGTTTCTCCAGCCACCGAGGTTCGAGACTCTCGGCACGTCTCCACGGTACCATTGAACCCCGGATTTTCCCCATGGGGTAGACGGGAGTCGGAAGTCGGAAGCGAAGATCTCTGGAAGTCGGAATCAAGGGTGTTTGCGGGGGAAGAGAGACACATTGAGCGTTGCCGATACTCCGCGAAGGAAGTCGACGAAATGGGCATTTCTGGTGATGATTGTGGGTCTGATAGATGTCTCGGGGAGTATCGGCGATGGAGACATCTAGCACGGCAGCAATCCACACTTTCTCCAGCGGCCTCTAACAACTAATTGGACAACACCAAGCAGACGGATTTGCCTTTGATCCGTTCCCACATGGCATATGTCATTGTGAGGCTCTTTCAATTCAGAGATCTTGCTGCTGTTATCAAATACGAAAAGGAAGACTCGCCTACGCCGGCTCCCACACTACTGACAAAAGCCCGAGTACTTAAACTTAAAAGCGCCATTCCATAGCATCCCTGAGAACGAGCACGAGTCTCGAACGCCAAGTTGAGCCAGAAACAACGTTTGACCACCGACAAACGAACCGACAATCTCTCCAGACTTGAGGTTTCTCAGGAACACAAATCGTTGTCAAACAGAACCATTCATCATGGCCAGTCGCCAGCAAACACCCGTCCTCAGGGTCGGTATTATCGGGTGCGGGGAGATCACCCAGGTCGCCCACATCCCGAACATCAACTTCCTCTCCGAATACTTCCAGACAACATACCTCTGCGACATCTCCCAGCAATCTCTCCAGCACTGCGCCAGAAAGGTCCAGGGCGGGACGCCCAAGACAACAAGAGATGCCGCCGAGCTCTGCTCATCACCCGATGTGGACGTCGTTGTCATCGCCAATGCCGACGCATACCACGTCGAGCACGGCCTCCTTGCCCTCAAGAACGATAAGTACGTCCTGATTGAGAAGCCGGTCTCAGTTTGCTTCCGAGACCTCGACCTTCTCATCGAGGCGGAAAAGAAGTCCAAGGGCAAGGTCATGGTCGGCACGATGCGCCGGTTCGCGACCGCGTTCACAGATGCCGTGAAGGAAGTTGGCGGGATGGAGAAGATTCAGTATGCGAGGGTCAGAGACATCATCGGCCCCAACTCGACATTTGTCGATCAGTCCGGTACATTCCCTCAAAAGTTCAGCGACTTTAGCGATGAGGACAACGCGGACCGTCTGAAGCGCGAGACGGACATTACCGAGCAGGCATTGGCGAATGAGTTCGGCGTCCCGGCTACTCCTGCTTCAAAGCTCATGCTGAGACTGCTTGGAGGGTAAGTTCTCATGTCATTCCCGGAAGAGTGCAAGTTTAACCAAGCAACAGACTCGGAACTCATGACCTCTCTGCTATGAGAGAAATCATTGGCATGCCCCAGAGTGTTTCTGGCGCTTGCCTCACCTTCCCAGGAATCTGGAGCGTTCTCTTCAAATACGACGACTTCCCCGTGACCTACGAGTCCGGCTTCAACAATGTTCCCCAGTTCGATGCTCACATCGAGGTGTACTCCCCCAACAAGATTGTGCGCGTCAACTATGATACCCCTTACGTGAAGGGCCTCCCGGTCACGATGACGATTCGCGAGGTGGTCGGTGACGGCGGATTCCAGGAGCGAACGATCCGGAAGACGTATCAAGACCCGTACACGACGGAGTTCCTGGACCTGTACGACTGTGTTGTCAACGGCAAGCAGCCCAAGACTAGCGCAGCAGATGCGAGGAACGATATCGAGCTATTCAAGATGATACTCCAAGCTGACTCTGGGAGATATCAGAGCGAGAAGTAGGGTCCTTCAAGCTGCAGACGGACATGGTTCAGCCATGCTGAAATGAACGGTGCCCTCAATTCAGTCGGGCAATCGGCTAATTGAAGCCCTCGATGATAACCATATGTGCGCTAAAACCGCCAACTCCTCCTATGTGCTGTGAATATGCGTTGACTTCCTATCTGCTCTGCTTCCCCATCGCGAGTGTTGTGTGCAATTTCCCATGCCACAAGAGACGGTCCTTTCCACCGATGACCTGTCCGGCCCTTAAACATGTATTTTCCAGCAGACAAACCCCGTTGCCCTATGTCCTGTGGCCCGAAAACCCCTTTGAATGAAAACTGTATGTCGACAAAATGATCGGGGTGTTTGGCCAAGACCATCCGAAATAGTGATGAGCCTCAATTTGTGCGCTGGGATATCTGCATCCCGGCGCCTGCGGCATGCGTGCATAGCTAGCGATTGATTGACAGTCCTGTCCATTTGACAGTCTGAAGAACAAGTACACTTGGAGGGAGAATGTTAGAAACCGTCCGCATAAAATCTTGATTAGCAACATCACCGATACTTACCTCCACAGAGTGATGTGTTGGGAGCTCATCATGCACCCCGGCTACGGTGCCTCGTCTCCGACGTAGACCTACGTTCTGCGACGCCCTCATGGACTGCCCGCCCATAGTTACCCGAGAGCGCCCTACTGTCCGGTGTTGATGGATAATCGACCGATTCGAAGGAGTCTTCGGGCGTTGGAAGACCCGTGGGCATTGGCGTGAGGGTCGGCATCGTCCTGGATTTGGGCATGTCACACCGAGGTGCGCACCCTCCTGGGCGGTCGGAAAGCTGCAAAAGCAGATAACTACCTTCAATCTGACGGAGAACGTCCTCCGACGACGCACCCGACCGGATCCTTCTCACAACTTCGTAGGCCTGGATCTCGGGCATGGATCGAATGGCGCAAAAGAACTCGTTGAGGGTACCGTTTTCACGCTCCAACTCGTTATACTTCCTCTTCAGGGCGGCGTTGCGGGACTCGGACGGGTCTGCGGTGTAATGGCAATCGAACCCCTTGGAAAAACATTGAGAGCATTTCGGTCGGTCGGCAGAGCACTTGAGTAAAGGTGGCGGGTCAGTATGCGATGCATGTCGCAGCATTGTCCACGGGGAGACGAACTTTGGTTTTGCGCTTCTTACAGCTCTCGCAGGCCACCCAGACGTTACGTCGGACGGGCTTTTGGTCGAATTGTGATGAATGGCTGGCGTTGTCAAGAGATGACGTCGGCGAACTCGGATCGGAGTCGGGTTCAAAGGCGGGACGAAGTTCCCGATAGTATCGCGTGTTGGCCATGCAGGAACGGTGGCAGGGCTTTATTTCATGACAGATGGATCATTTATTCGGTGAGATCGGGGTATCAGAGTAGTAGTAGTAACAGAAGACATTCAAAAGAGGTTTGGGTGGTTGAGCAAAGAAGAACTCGTTGGGCCAGGGCCTAGATCGTGGGCGACCGAACACATACATACACTATTACCCGCAAGCACCCCTTAAAACCGATCCATGGCCACACGGATTCACCCACCTACAGCTGTCGCCTGACGTAAATCTTGTCCATCGAGATGGTAAACTGGATGTGGTGTCTGTGGTGCGGCTCATGTTGATTGGCTTTTGAAAGATTGGGATGGGTCGGCTTGTCGTACAATGAGTGTAAGGATACTGGTGTCGGATTGGCTGAGCGCTTTGTCCTGCGGAAGGGAAAGCTTTTGGAGGGAAATCGAGATTGGGGATCGAGATTCCAATTCTCAGGCCCCGGTGTTTTCCGGAACTACCTCCGCTTTGCCACGAGAGCCGTTGATACCTTAATGTCAGATGACGTTTCACGTGGCAGAAAGACGGCCTTCACCTTGCGTCACTCACTGTCATTGGGTAAGTACCCGACATATTTCGTGAGGAGAAATCGGTGGCCTCGGTGAGTTCGGTGAGTTCGGTGAGTGTGAGAAATGAAATCGTGCTGAGGTGAAGGGCAATAAGCTGAGTGCTTCATCCTTTAGAGAGTGATTTAAATGAGCCACAGGCGGGTAAGTCCACTCACTCATCCACCCTGCCATCGCCACTCAATTCAATCTCATGAGAGTCGTCTGTCGCCACGAATGATGGCCCTGACGATCTCTTCTATCTTAACTGACGGAGACTAAACTTTCTGAAGCGACGGGACACTCTCACTCCATTTCGGAACCTCGCTGCGAATTGACCCATCGGGAACTGCGCTCTAGTGGATCAGCGTCGCATTCATCATGTTGACATTTGAGCAGTTCATCTCGTGTCAACCAACCCTAGCACAACCTGGAAACCACACCACAAACAAGGTCAACAAGGCCAACCCGGCCGGTGCAGATGAGCCGACCGCGAGTTCATTCCCCCTCCGCCAAGCACTCGAACTCACTTGGCTCGCCGTGAATTCGCTCCCTTAGTCACAAGATGACTGGCAACGATGACCGACGCGTTCAACGGACCAACAGTTCCAACGGCCAAAATACCCAACTTCGTCGAGACTCAAGCCTTCACCGCACCGAAATGACATCAACTCCAACCGGGCCCCGGCCCCAAAACGGCACAATGTCCAGGGCGCGGGACAGAAGGATGCGACGCTACCGACGCTAAAACCCCGCACGCCAATATCGCCCACCTCCATCCTTCACCCGCATCAACACCGACACCCCTGGCTCTTCCAAGCTCACCAAGCTCCCTCGACTGGGATAATTCACAGGAGCTTATGAAATTTCAAAGCTTTTCCCCGCACTCTCATCAGTCAACGGCGACGGGAAAATTCTCCAGGTTTTGCCCAGCTTGGCACTCCTCGCCCAGCCACCCCTCCTCGTCGTGCCACCCAGATCGCGTCTTGCGAGATCGTCGGCCTCTCGTCGTCCTTCCAGTCTTGGCCTTATTCAATTTCAGTGCTTCTCAATGGCTCGGTACAGACTCCTCGGCTCTCGGGCCAATGCCTGCCGGACCATGTCGACGGGACCCTTCATGAAGTCATGAAGCAGTATAAAAGGCATGAGGTCGTATTGGCCCGTACCGCCGCTTTGAAGGAAGAGAGTAGAGACGCCTCAAGTGAAGTCCAGCTTCTTCCTCGCTCTCACCAATCCTCACCATGGCGCTCACCAAGTTACTGTCCTCCGGGCTTCTGTTCGCCTCCCTCGCGGCCTCCAAATGGATCGTTCCCGGAGGCCGATGGCGTGACACCGAGGGCAACCTCGTCAACGCCCACGCTGGCGGTGTCACCGTCGACCAAGAGACGGGCAAGTTCTTCTGGTTCGGCGAATACAAGATCGAGGGCCAGGAGGAGGGCGGTGGTGTTTCTGTCTACAGCTCCGACGACCTGGCTACTTGGGAGTACCACGGAAAGGCCCTCGAGCCCATCGAAGGCCACCCGTACATCTCGAACGACATGATCATCCAGCGCCCCAAGGTCGTCTTCTCCGAGCCTACCGGCGAGTATCACGTACGTCTACCTCAAACCGCCATTCCCGTTTCCAATTGACTAACAACGAACAGATGTGGTGGCACGCCGACAACTCAACCTACGGCCTCCTTCTCCAGGGCCTGGCCACCTCTCCCAACATCACCGGTCCCTACACCTTTGTCGACGCCACCGCGCCTCTCGGCAACTGGTCCCAAGACTTCGGCATCTTCACCGACTACAAGGACGGCCGCTCCTACGCCCTGTACTCCAACGGTGACCGCCGCGAGGGCCGCGACGTCTACCTCAGCGCCTTCAACGAGGACGTCACAAACGTCACCGAGGTCGTCCACCGCTTCGACAAGTACGACCTCGAGGCCCCGACCATCATCCAGACCGACTCGAGCTACTACGCCCTCATGTCCCACAAGACGGGTTACCGCCCCAACAACGTCGTCGCCTTCCGCGCCGACTCCCTCTCCGGCCCCTGGTCCCAGCCCTTCTTCGTCTCCGACGCCTACACCCGCACCTACAACTCCCAGTCCGGCTTCTCCCTCAGGATCAACGGCTCCGAGGTGACGACCTACCTCTACCTCGGCGACCAGTGGGACTCCAACTCCCTCTGGGAGAGCCGCTACATCTGGCTCCCGCTCGCCGTCGACGACGAGAAGAAGTCGGTCCACGTCGAGTGGCACGACATCTACGACCTGGACGTCAAGACCGGCGTCGTCACCCCGATCGAGGGAAAGACCTACTACGCCCACGACTCCGCCACCACCTCCGGCAACGCCTTCAAGCAGGAGGCCAACTTCGCCAGCGGCGGCTCCATCGTCACGGGCATCTACGGCAACGACAGCAAGGTCACCTTCGAGGGCATCGAGGGCGCCGGCGAGCCCCAGTGGGTCTCGTTCTACTACCAGAACACGGACGACATGGGCTTCGGCGACCAGCCCGGCGGCACACCCGACCGCATCGGCGGTACGTGGCAGCTGCGCCGCATCGCGAGCGTCATCGTCAACGGCAACGAGCAGCAGGTCGAGTCGCTGTACCAGCGCGACTCGCACAAGGGCATTATCCTGTCTACCCCTTTGAACCTGACCTTGGAGGCGGGCTCGAACAACAGCATCACCATCGGCGGCCTGTGGAACGGTTTCGACTTCAAGGGTGCTGATATCGACCGCATTGTCGTATACCCTCCCGAGGGAAAGAAGCCTTCGAAGTGCAAGTAGATACGTCTAAAAGATAATGATTAATAGCTAAAAACGGCGGAACTTCAAACAATGCATATATCCTCCCATCGTATATAGTCCGTTATCGCTTCACCAGACATGATGCCGTGAACAAATGCGGCGCCCATATTCACCCAACTTTCACCGTCGCCGGATCTTCTCATTAATAGAGGCATATGGCATCCTTGCACAATCCACACCTCGTCCTCGACGTCCGCCCTATCTGGGAGGTTGGCCAAATGACGACCTCCGAGGATAGCAAGCCGTCTCAACGACGGCTGCACGAGCCGCGTGAGCCACTTCTGAGCCTCCTGTCTCCAATCTTCCAGCAGTTTTATCTGACGCTGTGCCGCCAATTCCAGCACGTGGCCTGTGGCATCCGGCTTTCTGAGCATCTCGCATCGCTCCAGCAGGTCCTGTGTCGAGGGAAATAACCCGGTCTCATCGCTCGACGCGACCTCGTCGAACACCCGGTACTCTTCCATGATGGCTTCCCACGTCTTGCCGGCAGCGAAACTACCGACCTCAGACTCCGCTACAGCGCGCATCACCCATTCTTTGAATGGTGCTCTCAGACCGTCGAACACGCCGCCAGGGTCGTCTCCCGTTCGTGTGTGGGTGGTGTATTTGTCCAACAGTAGCGTGCGACAAACAGCTTCCACCCGCGGCTGGTTGGTATATGGATACACCAAGGGTAAGCAGGTCGTGATCGCAGCCAGCGTGCGGAGATCACCGTTCATGAAGTCCAGATATCCATGTGGCTGTTCCGCGAGCTTGATGACAGGTCCGATCCTGAGTCCGCGGCAATGCAGTCTCGGTCCCCGGATATCGAGTGATATCGTCTTCATATCAAGACTTTTGGATGCATCTTGTCGGTGCAACGGTGTAGGATAGTTCCCTGGGAAGTGGGCACAATTCCACTCCGACACCCATGAGGGGACGTCTTCTATCTTGGCCAGTAGTTTCCCTGCAAAGCACAAGATATCCAGACGTCCGTCATGGAGAATGATCGCACGTGTCATGCGCGTGTAGACGTCCGCTAAAGGCTCTTCGTAGTCAACCTTCGCCCATGGCACATCAATGTCCACATGTTTGAGAAACTTCTTCAAAATGCCAAACAGCCCATAAAACCGGTCTCTTTTGTCCGACATACCTGTATTGGGCGTCGAGAACATCAGGAGTATGAGAAAATCTTCCGGTGAATCATTTGGAAGGTCGAAACTCGCGCCCAGAAATGGGTATTCCTGAGTTGATAGCTTGATAATCCCGCGACCACCACAGACGAGCCTGGCCTTTTCGATGAGCGCAACATTGGCGACGGACTGCCTCATACACTCAAGCGGGGAATTCGGCCTCGACATCGCTTCCAGCTGCAGAAACAGCTGCATCATGGACCCCGAGTGGTAGGCGAGAGCCGCGAAGTCGGCGACGACGCGCCACGGTATGAGAGTATTCCCGCACGAAATCGTTATCTCCCGCGCTAAGACGACCTCCTGGAAGATCCAAAGCCTCGAGAACCATCGTCGTGTGAAGAGCTCGCTCAGGTAATCCCAGTCTTCGAGGCTCAGCCAATTCCCGAGACGCTCCTGCAGCCGAAGGGACAAGTCTTCGGAAGCCACGGCGATGAGCAGGCCCGCAGCCCTCAGAATCCGAGATGCCTGTGACATGATTTGGAAGGCCCTCGGAAGACCCGGTGATGATTTCCCCAGCCACGCGATCGTCTTGACGGCGTTCGTGTAGATGACGTCCATAAGCGAGACCTGCTCAGCGCGCTCCCTCAGGTCGTCTTGGTTGATGCAGATTGCGTCGATCCATAGCCACGCATCGGGGAGGTTTGTTCTCAAGTGGAAAAGCGCATCATGGAGATTCTGTCTGACTTGGAACGACCGGTTGTTCAGAGCAATGGGGTAGGTGTCGGCTTGGTCTTCCGTCGGTTCAGAGTCAAATTCCGCAGCACCCCAAGTGTATGAAAGGGCGTAATAGCTATGCGGAGGGGGCTCGAGAGAGAAGGTTTGGATTTGTAGCTCCAGACTGGTGTTTTCTTCCTCGGCTGCCAGAATCTTGATGAGCCGAAACTCGCTGCTCCTGAGAGTAGAGTCGTAAGTGAAAGTATCTGCAACACTTGGTTGCGCCAAACATTCTGCCATACTGTACATATGTTTCCTGATGATCGTGAGTGATTGAGCTTCCAATTGTAAAGAGAGGGGTTGACTTGGTCAAGAACACCTCGTTTTATAAAGTGGTCGTCTCGTTGCTCATTGGCTCACCAAGAACCTAGGCGCAGGAGCTGAACATTGTCTGTCCTATCCGGGACTACGGCGCCAGCAAGGCATACTGGAAAAGCCGATCTTTGCTTGGCATCAGCGATTGGCATCAGTCCGGTGGCCTGTTGAAGTTTGGTGAAGAGGATGTAACCGCCAAATCTGTATTGACATCTGATGTCTATCTCTGGGTCTGAATTCTTGCTTCGACCATTCATGCAACACGCTTCATCCATCCTGGAAAGCAGACCCCTCTAAACGCCTCACATTCTCAATCACCAACGAGGCTGAGATCATGAATAAGACACATATACATGCGCATGTGCAGATATATCGTGCGGGCACCTAAGAGGTGTGGACATCTGCCTTGGCAATGGCCTCCGTCACTGACTCGATGGACGGGTCGGCCTCGGCCTTCTTCTCGCCAGACTCCACGGTGGAACCTTCGATCTTGGCCTTCTTCTCGGCCTCCTTGCGGGCCTTCTTGCGGGCCTTGTCCGCCTCCTTGGCCGCCTTCTTCGCAGCAGCCTTCGCCGCAGCTTCTTCCTTTTGCTTCCGAACCTCCTCTCCACCGAAGGCGTCCTTCCACTCCTCAATCTTGGTTGCAGGAATGAGAGAGAACAGATGCTTGGGCTCACCAAGCTTGTGGCCGGGCTTGATAGCATCGACGATCCAGCTCTCGGGAATGGCGGGCTTGCTGTCCACGCCGAGTTGTTCGAAGATGGCCTTTGAGGTGTTCGGGAGGAAGGGGCTGACGAGCGACGCAAGGAGGTTTATCTGGTTCAGAGCAGCGCCAACAACAGCGGCGCAGCGATTGGGCTCCTCGGTCAACAGCTTGTTGTCAAGCTTGTTGTCTTGGAGAAGCTTGTTTCCGAGGCTATTGAGGTTATTAGCAATTGCCAAAGAGCGAAGAATGAAGAGAGAAAACGTACGCAGAAATGGACAAAATAGTGTGCAGAGAGGCTCTCATCTTGGTGTCCTCCATGTTCTTGATGTACTCTATGACGAGATTGTTGACTTCCTTGACGTGGTTCTTGAGGTAGTCGTCGGTGTACTTGGTGTAGTCCGGAACAACACCCTCAGTCTTGGCCTGGCAAAACTTGTTCACTGCAGGTTGTTAGTACGGGTATTATCAATGTTGATCGGCCATGCTTACCTCTCTGGCAGAAGTTGCCGAGGTTCTTCAGGCTGTTGTATGCATTAGCAGCTATCACACATTCGACATATCAGAGCACTCACAGCTCGTTGTTGTTGCCGTCAACCATCTCTTGCCACATGAACTCGGAGTCGGAAGTCTCCGGACGGCGGGCAAGGAGGTAGTATCTCCAAACATCAACAGGGACCTCAGTCTGCTGGACCTGGTTGCCGAAGACACCAACACCTCTTGACTTGCTGAACTTGCCACCCTCGTAGTTGAGGTACTCCGTGGTAGAGATCTTGTGCAGCTTGGTCCAGTTCTCGCCGGTGCCGAGCTGCGAGCCGGGGAAGATAATAGTGTGGAATTGAACGTTGTCCTTGCCCATGAATTGGTACTGTCTCGAGTCAGACTCTGTTCAATCAGGTCACCGCACTCACTTACAAGCTTGACGTCGTCGGGGTTCTTCCACCATTGCTCCCACTTCTTGCCTTCGAGGTCGGCGCCGTCGGTGTAGTTCTTGGTGATGGAAACGTAGCCTGTCTAGTTCAGTAAAGGTCCTTAGCCGTAAAATGTACAGGTACTCACCAATACAGGCGTCGAACCAGACGTAGAACACCTTCCTTGCGTAGTCCTCGCCAACTTCGCCCGTAGGAATGGGAACACCCCACTTGAGATCTCTGGTGATGCCACGGGGCTTCAGGCCCTTGTCGATCCAGGCCTGGGTGATCTGCTCGGCGTTGTTGCTCCAACCGCCCTTCTTGCTGGATGACTGGAACCACTTGACGAGCTCATCCTTGAGAGCGTCAAGCTTCAGGAACAAGTGCTTCGTCTTCCGCTTCTCGGGGGTGGCTCCGTCGAGCTTGCAGCGGGGGTTGATCAGCCAGCCAGTGGCCTTGGCGGCGACGTCGTCGTCGGCAGTGGCGTTGGGATCGGTCTCGGGCTCCAAGGGGTCAAGGAGATTGCCGCACTTGTCGCACTGGTCTCCTCTCGCGCCGTCGTAATTGCACACGGAGCAAACACCCTCGACGAAGCGGTCGGCAAGGAAAGTGTTGTGGGCCTCGACGGGGCAGAAGGGTTGGGTAGTCTCGCGCTCCTCAATGTAGCCATTCTTCCACAGCTTAGTAAAGATATCCTGAACGATCTCGGTCTGCTGAGGGGTGGGTGTTCGGCCGAAGATGTCGAAGGAGATGTCGAAATAGTCGTAAATGCCCTTGTGGATGGCGTGATACTTTGCGCAAAGGGTGGCGGGGTCAACACCCTCCTCAAGGGCCTTGGTTTCGGTCGCCGTTCCGTACTCGTCGGAGCCGCAGACTGCGAAGTATTGGCGTTAGCGAGGAAGAGAGTGTGTGGGAGGAAGGCATCGCAGCTTACTGTAGATTGTGGGGTTGCCGCGGGCACGAGAGTAGCGGGCGAAGACGTCGGCCGACAGCACAGAGCCGATGATGTTGCCAAGATGGGGAACGTTGTTGACGTACGGCAAGGCTGAGGTAATCAGGATGTTGTTCTTACCCTTGACGGGCAAGATGGGCTCGGTGGGAGCCATATCGAGGGATGCGATCGCGGGTGGAGTTTGCGAAAGATTTGAGGAATTGGCGGGTGCGATGCCGGTCGCAACGGGGTTTGCGTGTTCGGGTTGTGTCAATTGGAGGGACCTTGAGTGATCTCTGACGTCTTTGTTCGCGTGTCAATGTTGTCGGTGTGTTTTGAGGAATCCGAGCAACGGGAGAGACGAGAAATGGCGGCGACGACTAGTGACAGAAGGGAAAGGAGTCACGCATTCTTGGAGTCGTGAATAAGAAATGGACTGGAATGCCCGGGCTCTGACTCTGATTGACGCCAGAGCCACAACCCCGCACTATTCCTCTTTGGGATGAGGGGCAGCCCACGCCGTTCTTCCAGGTTTCCACCGGCCTTCTCCAGCGACGGACGGTACGTGACTACAGGGAGCACGACGCCCTGGAGAGGTCAGCACTCAGCGTTAGGTAGGCACCTCGAGACGTTCTCGGTGTGGCTCGGTCTGGTCCCATCTCACCTATCATTAAGCGAGCCATCTTATTGTTCATCTCATAATTATCTGACTTCATTAGCCGTAGACAACACCAAGGAAGGCCTTCGGTGATACCATACCTCATATTTCTCTCGCCTGCTTTCATGAAGAGTGTTGTTTAATCGTATCTGTCACGTTTCTCCGATCAAAACGCCAACTTTCTGTCGTGATTGAAATCTGGTTCTCATAGCATGAACTCCTCATCCAGACCAGTTATTGTCCTCATCTTCATACATCCCATCATCATGACGAGAACTTAAATTATCTGCACGCGATACGTGCTCCCGTCAATGCCTAGCGCGTCCATCAGATCTTCAGGCCACTCGAAAACTGCCGGCATCATGGTGTCCTTCATACTTTCCAACCATTCCGTCCCCTCGAATAGCATCGTTGCCGCGTTTGACGGCACAGTTGTATTGATGTTGATCCAGTTTCTGCGGTCAAAGTTGAACTTTTTCACCTCATCCCAGAGGTTGATCCAGAAAAATTGGCTCGGAAAACGCCTTTCATCGCCATCCTCGTAGCGCTGATTATCAATATTGGCCCCCTGGAGCTTACTTTTGATGTCGTTGAGGTTGGCAGCAAGATAAAAGCTCCGCGAAGCTTTGGACGAATTGAATTGCCTCGCGGAGCCAGAGCCTCGAGAGACACACTCATGCATCTGATCTTGCATCTCCGTCATGGCCTCCTTATATGTCGATTCCTCTGGTTCTCGGTCGCCGTTAAGCTGCTCATTATCATCACCAGCACTGACACGCCAGTATTTGAACGGCCCTAATCTGTAGAGGCTGCCAGATGAATTGCGGAATGCTGCAGTAGGTAGAAAATGGCGCGCTTCCGCTTCGTCCCCTGATCCGAAGCAAAGTTCAATGTAAGTTTTGCCGTTGACCCGTTTGGCGGTTGCTTGAAGTCCACTCTGCTGTAGGCACTCGAGATACTCCTCCGCAAACCCCGGTGACACCGACACCTGATCATTCAGCATGGCTTGACATAGGTATATCAAGCTTCTTAATAATACGCCCGCTTTCGAAAACAGTAGTGACAAGGAGTTTTGAAGACTTTGGAAGCCTATCGTGACCAAATTCGAATTCCAAGCAACCCAAGGATCGTCCAGTAGGTTAGACGGTGCCTTAGCACGAGACAACTTTTCGCACAGATAGCCGTGACGTTCTTCGTCAAACTCTTTTGTTTTGCGAGAATGCCACGCGTTTGCTAGCTTGATCGTTCCAACCAAACTGGATTCTCTCATCAAATCGGCGACGTAATTGTGGCGAGGCCAGCCTGCGAAAAAGTCTCTGGACTTCTCAGTGTCTTCAGACAGATTGTGAATCTTTACGTCGAAGCAACCCGTGAGGAGACGGAACGCGAGACGCTTTTCGGGTATCTCACGTAAAATGAAAGCGTGACCCATGCCTGTAGGACTTAAAAAAAGGTGATCGCCGCGTAGTTCACAGCCATCCGGGACCCCTCCTTTGAGAGTCAACGATATTGCCCAGTCCGGGATGCGGGCCAAGTCGTCGTCGTGACCCGCTGGCCAGAGGAGAATCTTTTGGTGGCAGCCTGCACCCAGCCAGTGACACCGCTGAATCTTTAATAAATGAAGCAGGTTGATAGTTAAAACCCCGAACCCGCCATCGATATCCGTACCGGATGGCCATGTGTAAAGTTGTCGTGGCTCTAATGTCCGTAATGATATGTCTCGTGATCCTCGTAGATCGCGCATATACATTCCAAGTTTTTGGTCGAGCTTGTGATTACACTTCACGCATTCTCGGGCCTCGGAATCCAATATCGCGTCCAAGTGATGAATAGGCACAGCCCAGGATGGATACCCCGGATGCCTGCTTCCCAGGTGGCGTAGTAACAGAACGTCGGGATTCTTCTCGCGTGCAAGACAATGGCCTAAGAACCCCAGAGAGACTTCCTTCATGCTCAGTGAGTAGTCGGCTGGGATCTTTTCCCAAGTGGACAATAGGCCAAGGATGCCAAAGACCATGTCTCGCGGATCGGAGGCCCTGCAACGCGACACAAGCTGGAATAAGCCGAAGGAATCCATTGAGAGTCGGCCCTGCGCAATTTGAAGAACCCAGGAGGTTACTTTCTGATTATCCAGCTTCTTTCCCGTGAGGTGGTCCGCGATGAATTCCATGTTACCAATACGAATCACGGCGTAACGTGAGAGAAGAAGCTCCTGTACCACCCAGATACGGCTGAAATATCTCATTTGGAGCACGTCACGTAACTCCAAATACTCCGAGGACCATTTTCGATTCTGCTCGTCTTCTGATCTGCTTTCGTTGTTATTGGCGTGGGCGAGGTCGCAGAGATCCTCCAGCTTTCTACGAGCTGGGTATTGCTGGGCCGGCCCATTGACCTGCGACGGGGAAACGTGGGGCCCAAGAAAGACAATAACCCGTATTGCGTTGCCGTAAATAGATCCCATCTTGCCGACCTGTTGCTCGCGCTCAGTTGTATCGCTCTGATTGATGCATAATGCGTCGACCCAGAGCAACCGTATGCCTCGCTCCGGGCGGAGCGACCTGAGCATAGCCTCGCAGTTGCGGGTCTGGAACACGATGTCCCAGTAATCGCCGACGAACACGGGCCGACAGGGTGAACTGTCTCCTGTTTCCCCGCCCCAGGTGTAGGAGACCGTCTCGTACTCTGGATATCTCTCGTCATTGTGTATCTCCAGCTCGACGTGAACAGGTGTTGATGGGGTGCTATTCTGGAACGACGGCGACGATGCAGCCAGGATCAACAGACGAAACTCATCCGAGGCCAATCTGCGCTTGTAAACTCCCGATGAAGTGGCTGCTTGGGTACTCTCCGAAGAGAACTCGGTCTTCGTAGGGTTGGTCGCGATAGACAGCTCTTCCCCCAACGGTGGTTTCTTTTCCTGGGACGACCAATTTCCTGAAATTTGTGACATCTCCGCCGATGATGTCTCTTTCCCGTGGGAGTATGGCACCGTTGGAGGCCAGTAGAGATTGAGCTCGCCGAGGGGTTTGTCTGATGGGATGACCGGGTCGTTCGCGCCCGACGGCAAAGCGTTTCTCAGGGCATCCAAGTCGGGAGAGCGATCGCACCGTCTGCAATACGGCGTTCCGATACCATCGAGAAGGATAACCTCGGGGTCGTTACAAGACTCGGCATGCCAACGATTCATCGTGGACAGCTTGCTAGAACAACTGTAGCAGCGTGGATTTTCGAGTCGATTTTTGTTTGCTACAGTCTGATTGACCTTTGTTGTTGGTTTACTACAGCAAGAACATTCTCCTCCGCGGTGAAGCAGTTATTGATGTGTGCATGCAACTTGTCAGCTGATTACATGTATGCAGCTCGCATAGCTCATTGGTCAACTTAAGAACTCGTCAGCGCGGCGTTTCCCTTTTTCCATCGACCCTAGAATGGATATGACTGGAACATCGAGTCCCCAATTTGAGTGTTGTTGACATGGTTGCTGCGATCTACTGGTTCTTTGCGGACCATTCAAATATTGTCTTTGATGGCGCTGCAAGCAAGGAACGAAAGCAGGCTGTCAGGCGCTAAGCCTCACCGCCATCCACCTACAGGCTTAGTAAAACGCTTCGTCATGCTGTGCTGAACGGGTCAAATGGTAATTTTTTTGGACACCTAGGCTATACACATTACATCCACAAACAGTCTCTTCCCTTACTGACCGAAGACCTCGTCGTAGTTGGTCAGGCAATACCTGTAACGGACCTTGGAGTCCTCGATACCGTTCATAGCCTCCCTCAGACCGTCGGCGCTGATGGGGACCTCCTGCACCCAGGTCTTGATGCCCTTGTCGGCAGCCAGCTGCAACATCTCCAGGGTCTCGCGCCTGCTGCCCAAGTGCGAGCTGCCGATGAAGCAGCCGTTGGGCAGGAAGTCCTGGTTGCGGACGGTGATGCCGCCGCCGCCGGGGAGACCGACGGACACCCACTTGCCGTGGACATCGAGCAGGCTGAGGTAGGCGGAGAGGTCGAAGCCCTCGAAGGAGTTGGCGGTGTTGAGGATGAGGTCGAAGGTCATCTTGTGGGGCTCGTTCCAGCCCTTCTCGCCTGAGGCGAGGTATCCGTCGGCGCCCATCTTGAGGGAGTCGGCCTCCTTGGAGCGGGAGCGGGAGATGGCCCAGACCTCGGCGCCGAGGGCCTTGGCGAACATGACGCCGAAGTGGCCGATACCACCGATGCCGACGACACCGACCTTCTTGCCGGGGCCGCAGCCGTTGCGGATGAGGGGGCTGTAGGCGGTCAGACCGGCGCACAGCATGGGCGCGGCGATGGTGCTCGGGAGGGCTTCGGGGATGGGGAAGACCCTGTTGTGGATCAGTATAAGTTTGTAGGCAAAACAGATGATGAGAACCCACCAGTGCTCGTGAGTGCGGACGTGGGAAGAGTAGCCGCCCTGCGAGATGGCGCCAGAGTCGGGGAAGGTTGAGCCGTAGGTGTCGAGCTGCTCCTTGCAGTATGTCTCGTTGTCGTTCTTGCACTGGCGGCAGTTGAGGCAGGCGTAGGACTGGGCTCCAACACCGACGCGCTCGCCAGCCTTGATCTTGGTAACCTTGGAGCCGACTCTCAGGGCCTTGCCGACGATTTCTGTGCTTCTTAGTGATTGGATTGCGGGATACTTGGATCTAGCGAGATCTTACCGTGACCGACGGCGAGAGGGTAGGGCTGAGCACCCCAATCACCCTTGATCGTGTGGACGTCACTGGCGCAGACACCACAGCACTCAATCTTGATATCGACATCGTAGTCGCCAAAGGGCTTAGGGTCGAACTGCTGCTTCTTGAAGTCTTGCCAGGTCTCGGCGCTGTTGACCTGGAAGCCGGTGAACTTCTCGGGGATGTTGGCCATGGTGTCTGGATCGGGCGTGTAATCGATTGGGCTATGAAGTATGGATTGGCTCGCTGTGCGAAAATCTTCAGCTATGAGCTATGTAAAGAAACAGATTGTCAGGACGAGAAGGAGGAGAGGAAGAAGACGACCAGAGACGGCTCGAGACGGGTCAGAGGGCACCGAGGCGGATGAAATACTCTGTCCATCGCAGAGCTGTCCCCCAAGGAAACCCCCACCTTCCAACCTCATTCGCGGCGCGTGGAGCAAAGGACATGATCCCTGGATGAGGGGCAACGCCAGCTGCAACGAACGAGGGGCTAACGTCGCGCCTCAATGTCATCCCATGCGAGATGGATGGACGGAGGAGGGGGGCATAGGCGGGGCTCTGGCCTAGACAAGGCTAGGCGCTTGTCGACTTCGAGAAAAATACCATCGAAGATATGCATCCCTCGTCTGACCGTCACGATAGTGAGCCAATGGCTTCATCCGTATGCCCGTCGATGTGCTGCAGATCGTCGCTTGTCCGGATCTCTTCGAGAGTAAGAACCAATATCGTAGATTTCTGACTTCGTGTACCAGCGTTGAAATGCTTCTTGCTCCTCCGGTCTTACATTTCATCGTCCGTCCAACAGAACGCATCCAACATGCTGTGCCCCGCGATGAAACCCCACCACAACCCGCCAATTGCACCGCATAATCCACCCAATTCGATGTGGCTCCTCCGGGACCTGGGGAAGGCAATTTGTCCGGGGGATTTTCCGAGACCGGATGCCGAATTTCCCACCAAACAGAGCGTCGCTTGTCCGTTCCGGTTTTCGAGGGTCTCGATAAAAAGTCCACGATCGCAGATAATGTCGGCTTGGCCTGGACCAAAGGACCTATGTCGGGGGTCCAACGTCGCAGGACTGGGTCCCCTTCGCTGTATCTCGGCAAATGTCTCCGAGCGGGAGTGTGTCATGCAAATGACCCCGGCCAACCACACAGAATAGTGTGCCACTCGAATCTCGTGCCTTCGAACAATGACAGTTTAGGCATAAGTTACGCCGGCTGAATGGGTTCTGCGACGCCAGCATGTCGGTATTTGTTCGGGTTTCTTCCTTTCCTTGCGCCTTTTCCCAGCATCTCGGGACTCCTGCAAGAGGACCGTCCATAAGACTTTACCTCATATGAGTTCCTTGAGTTTCTCGTCCTCGGTAACGGCGCCATGCTGACCGAAAATCGGCGGGTTCGGGTTCGGTGCAATGTTCGGGCGGTCTTCCGCCGCAGCGAGACCATGACCCCGGTCGGCATTTTCGTGGTATGTCCATCCAACGGCCCCATCATCTTTACTGCTGCTTGTTGGCGGTGACGCGTTGAGCACCCAGTCCGACATTGAGTATGAAGGCGGTGCGCATCGAGGCACCGAGATAGACGAAGGGCACATTGCCCCAGTCAATGGCATTCCATTTGGTGAAATCGTAGTAGACCTCGGGGCCTAGGCTTCGAACGGTGTACAGATGGCCGAGGTCGGCGATGAGAAGCACGAACAGGACCGTCTTCCAGACCCTGATGTCGTTGGTCGCGCGAAGGACGAAGGCCTCGTTGAGAGCGAAGAGGAGGTAGAGGTTCGCGAGCTGGGATAGGACGATTCCGGTGCCCTGGGGGATGACGCCGGGTTTGGAGGCCGCGTGGGTGAGGGACAGGTACTTGTCCTGCTGGAAGTGGGCGAAGTAGGCTCCGACGAGGGCGGAGATGGGCTCGATGGCGAGGAAGAAGATGCGGTAAGCCCAGGGGACGACTCGACCTTTCGTGGTGTATTGGACTGCTTTGGAAGGCATCTCGGCGGTTTCGGTCGCACGGTTCTGCGGTTGATACGGTCGAGCGGTTGTAGATAGCTGCTGCTCAGCTGAATAAAGGACAGAGGAGAAGCACGACTGGACGGGAGTTGAGGGGAACCAAGTTGCGGATTCGTCTCATCATGGGGAATTCTCGCGTGACGGGAACCCTGATGGGCCTCACCTGGGAATATGGAAAAGCATTGAACCGAAGCTCCGGACGGTCCAAGCCCCGGGCCCGCCTCCACTTTCGGGTCGGGTGCTTGCCGGAGCCGACAGGAGGGTCCGTGCCCAAGACGGAAATCAGCCCAGGGAATTGAATTTCGCGATTCTGCAGCGGCCTTTCAGAATCCCCATACTAGCAATTCGGCCGTTCGCCCTGCTTTGAAAGTTATCTTTCACCAACTTGCAATGTTGATTCTAGCTCAGTTTGACCGAATTGGAGGACTCGGGACTGATGAGGATCGTGGGAGAATCCTCCCGCAATTAATTGTCCGACGGTCTAATTAGAGACGGCACCTAGCCCATGGGCTAGTCTGGGGAAGCGAGAACAGATGCCACTTGCGAAGTCACTCACGAAAGCATCCCTGATTGAGGGTCTGGTCTGTTCGCGAGGATCTTCGATTTTTGTTTCGAAGCAGGGATTGGATATCGGAAAGGCCGATGGCGATGTCGTGATGGACCGGTCTGTGACCTCGAAGACAAAAAGACATCGTCGTGCTTCGGGGTAAGTCCATCGCTGCATTATAGACTCGGTCGCTATCATCGAGTTCCAGGCGCGGCTGACAGACACGAGGTGAGAGCGATGGAGGTTTCCCTCCACCAGACCATCAGACGGTGTGGTAGCTAATCTCCTGCTGCGACACGCAACGGGCACTTTGCCCCGGTATCCGACAGGAGGCACAGAGGGTTGATATCTCTAATTTCCGGCATGCCCACCAACAGGTCGTTGGAATGGTCCAAGGCGATGATCTGTTTGAGAGTGTGCCGCACGATGCGACAGACGCAAATAAGCCGAGTCGAGAGGCTGGGCGGAATTTTAGGGGTCCAGGTCAAGCTCGTGCAGATACTAGTCTCGACGGATGTCCCGTACTATCTGCAAAAAAGCAAGCTCGCAGCAGATGCTCTCTCAGTCATGGCAATTTATCTGGCAGGATATCGAGGCGATCTTTTGACAACTCAGGTCGGATACCGTTCATCGCTTGCTTTTGGTGGGTGGTTACCGCCAGAATCCTGTTGGGGCGGAGGATTATCAGGGCATTTGCAACAGAAAATTTCCAAGTTGGCCAACTCACCCAACCTATCTATGAGAAAGGATGAGAAAGGCATAATTAGAGACGAGGGAGAGAACCTGAAGGTACTTGGTGTTCAGGCCATTTTGTGCGGTGTTGTATGTACTCAATCGTGGGAGTACGTACCTATCTTGGCCTGCCACTGATGATCGCTGCAACTCTAAGCTCTTTCTTTCGCGGAAGGTGTGATTTGATCAAGGAGGGAAAATGTAGAATAAACAATGCGACGTTCCTTCCTCGAGAGACTGTTTTGACATCCAATGCAAATTTCGATTTTTGGCTGCAACATGGCAACGGCGTCAATCAATGTCAACAATGGAACCTAGAAGACAGCTTGGTCCAGGTAAATCCTGCTCTCAAGCCTCTTTTGTGGCATGTCACTTGGATGCTGTCAGCAGCTGTCGCAGTCTCTAGCCGAAAAGCCACCATCTCGACATTTCTAGGTAGTGATCCATATCGAACTTCACCACGGTCGCTGCTCACGGGACCCATTCCATGATTTGGGGCTTTTGTCACTTCATCCGCCATCCGTCGCCGTCTTATTTCTGACAGCTGAGAAGGAATCGACGGCCATGCAGACCTCGAATATAGGTCGGTTTCTGCCTTGGATATAACACCAGCAATACAAAGGCCGTCCAGTTTCCGGGCTACCCCTTTCACTCTGCAACAACACCAGCAGCGCACGTCCAACAGAACGCCTATTACCTGTCGGCCAGCCCGTCTGCGACTGGCGTCTGCACCCTCAGGTCGTCTTCCTGTCGTCTCTACCTTACTTGCCATCCTGTCGGGTAGTTCTTCGGCCACGACGTGCCGGTTCTCCCTCTTTTCTTTTTCTATTGTTTTTACCTTGGCCCTTCTTTCCTTCCCTGTCTCTCTCTCCCTGCTTGCATCGTGGAATCCTCCCCGCGAACGGACACGACGAAGTACTCTGTACGGATACATACCACACGACCTCGGGTACGGATACTTGGGATTTACATCAACATTACGGAACCTGGAATTCTGCCCAGATCAACAAACACAGGGCTCGCACCGGCTGAGAAACGGCATATGCACATCCCTCTCTCCCGCTGGCGCCGTCTTCCCCTTCACCTGACGCGACCGCAACGTTCTATCGCCCAGGCCGCCGTCTCTTCTTTTTTTCTTTGTTGACTCGCGTCTGGCGTCGAGGAGTCCTTCCTACACACTAGGTCATCACAAGACGACGGCGACGGGACACCATTCCCTGCGCAAGTACGGATACACCAAAGTACCACCGACCACTTTGTATCCGTACGTTTCTGCTGCCCACCGCCAATTTCCTCCCGAATTCAACCCCCCGATCCGGCCGCCCAGCAAAGCCGATCCCTCCCTCTTCGCAGAACCGGACCCTGAAATTTTCAAAAAAAGACACCAGCCCGGGTTCCAGGGGTGGACGACGGGAACACCCTCTAAACCGGAAAAGGGTGTCCCCCAACAACAACCCCAGGGAATCAGAGGCACCAGGAACGGCCTACTTCCGTTGATTCTTACGCCTCCGCCTGCACTGCTACTGCACCTCATCTCCCATCTACCGTCCTACTTTCCCCTAAAAAGGTCCCAAAACGACCCCGAATCTGCTGCCAATCTGCCTCCCTGTTGCTTCCTACTGGCTCCCACAGGTCCCTGTCACTTACCGGCCGCCACCCTGCAGCAGCCCAGTCCCTAGGAGGGAAGACCGAGACAATCCCGTCCTTTGCCTGCCTGTCTGCGAGTTTCGGACGCGCCCGACAGAGAGTCAGTCACGTCCACGTCTGGCAAGGGCAGAATAAGCAAAGAAGGGAGACTGGAGAAGGAGGCTAACGAACACAAGGTAAGGAGAAAAGAGGCTTCCCTTGCCCGACCCAACCTACAAATGATTCAAGCCTCCCACTGACCATGTGATGATCTTAGGTCCTCGTGCTACCATTCCGCCCTGCCCCACGGTCTTGGTCTCGCTTCCATCTCTTCCTCTTCCTTCTCGATAACCTCCTCGTCCTCGAGAGCAACATCACGGCTGAAACGAACGCGACTTCGACCATTCCCTCTTTGCCCGGGCCCTGATTGTATCCTTATCGTCGACCACTCCTTTCGACGACATGGCGAGACGCATCTACAACGTTGCCGACTGGGCTCCGACTCAGGAGGCCATCTACGACGAACCCTCGTCAACTTCCGCCATACAGGAGGATGCCGTCGACGGACAGCATCAGACTAGGCCCTCTTTCCAGCAGCACCGCCTACGCAGCATGAGCCTTTCCCTTCCTTGGCGGCGCAAGTCTTTCATGTTCCACCCCGATACCGATCTGTCGAGCCACATGGAAGATCTTTCTCTCGAGCGATCGCGAAGCCACGCCGGCCCCAGCGACGACCAGGCCCAGAATCAGGGAACACCTCCGGCGGGACATGGCAACGGCAATGGCAGCATTAAGGGCATGATCCGCCGGGCCTCGGTCTCGCTGAAGGGTATCGTCCATCACAAGAGGCACTCCATCGGCGGCGCACACCTCGCTGAGGATCCTAATCATCACTACGCACACCGCCCGACCACGTCGCACACGCACTCCCCTTGGCACCGCCTTCGTCAAGCAACGAGCTTCCGACACACCAAGTCTTCCCACGGCCACGATGTGAACAGTGAGGCGTCTTCTTCCAACCAGTGCTTCCCGTGCATGCCACTTCCCGGTATCGGCGGTGAACCTCCTGTTATTCCGTACCACACCGGTGGCGCCGCGAAGGCTGCCGCTGCTGCGCAGAACCAGGCTTTGCAGAACAAGTGGCTTCGTGCTTCTCAGGACGACTTCACTGATCGCGAAAGCGGCATCGGCATCACCGTCACGACATCAGAGTCGGAAACCGAATTGGAGGATGTAAACATCAGCAGAATCGACTTCATCTCTCAGTTGCCCGTCGAGCTCGCGATCCAGATTCTGGCACACCTCGACGCCACGGCTCTGGGCACCGCTAGCAGAGTCTCTCAGTACTGGCAGCGGATGATCCAGAACCAGCACGTCTGGCGAGAGTCGTTCTTGAGAGAGAAGACGGGTACCTATGCGACCAGCTTCCCAGTCCAGCCGGGAACTGGCCACGGAGTTCCCGCCATCGCACCCAGCGTCGACTGGAAGCAGATCTACAAGGTCAAGGAGGAACTTGACATGCGATGGAAGGAGGGCAAGGCGCGGCCGGTGTATCTCAACGGGCACTTGGATAGTATCTACTGCCTGCAGTTTGACGAGTAAGTGCCCCTTTTCATACCCTTTCGGGCACGGCTGACCAGCTTCACCACAGATCAAAGATCATCACCGGCTCCCGCGACAAGACCATTCGTATCTGGGACATGCGGACTTTCGAGTGCCGTCTGGTCATCGGGCCTCCTGAGGTCGTCAACGACATTTCCCTCCTCATCGACGAGGACGGACTCCCTGTTCACTACGCGACCCTCCCGGATAACCCACGCACGAACGCTTCCACGCCTTCTCTCGTCTCGTTCCCGACGCACCACAAGGCGTCGATCCTTTGCCTGCAATACGACGAGCGCATGCTGGTGACGGGCTCTTCTGACTCGACCTGCATCGTGTATAACGTACGCTCAGGTTACCGGCCGATCCGCCGCCTCCGTCACCACACCGCCGCTGTGCTGGATCTTGCCTTCGACGACAAGCACATCATCACCTGCAGCAAGGACGTCAGCATCTGCGTTTGGGATCGCGCCACTGGCCAACTTCTCCGTCAGCTTCGCGGCCACTCGGGTCCAGTGAACGCCGTCCAGATGCGTGGGAACACCATCGTGTCGTGCTCTGGCGATTTCCGCGTCAAGCTCTGGAACATCGACACGGGCAAGAACATCCGTGAGTTCCAAGGCCACACCAAGGGTCTCGCATGCTCCCAATTTTCAGAGGACGGTCGCTACGTCGCGTCGGCTGGCAATGACAAGGTCATTCGAATCTGGGACGCCAACACGGGTGAGTGCTTGCGCGAGATGAAGGCGCACGATAATCTCGTGCGCAGCTTGCACATCGACTCGGTCAGCGGGCGCCTTGTCAGCGGCAGCTACGACACCGACATCAAGGTCTTCGACATGGAAACCGGGCGACAGCTGCTTGACTTCCCGCGATGGCACGCTAGTTGGGTGCTGAGCGCGAAGAGCGACTACCGCCGCATCGTCAGCACTGGCCAGGACCCGAAGATCCTGATCATGGACTTTGGCGCCGACGTCCCGGGCATCGAGAATCTCGAGAGCGGCGGCCCTTGTATGATCGAGGCCGGATACATCTAGATTTCTTCTTCACAAAACAACATCTCGGCAACGAACCCTACGTAATACACTAATACCGAGAGCGGCACGGCTGGACCGCCCTCATTACGAGATCCATTTCCATCACGACTCGAGGATTTTCAGGAGTTGTAGACATCATACACAAAAGAAAGAAGGCATCTGGAGACAACAGACCTTCGCGGGGCGTACCGGGGAAGATGGGCATTCTTCCATTTGCATCAAGGTGGCGATCATTCTTTGTTTCTTATTGGGTTCTTTTTTTTCTCTGGTTTGGTTCTGTTCACTACGAACCGGACTGGCATGGCATCCCGGGCTTCGTTGCATAGAACGGCTACTGGATAGAAGCATTATAGATTCTGTTTTGCCATCACTTCTGAGACCCAATCGCATGCTGTGAAGTTGCCAAAGTGATCAACAGAGGCGGGCCTCGACTGGGTCACGTATCGCCATGCTATGCTTCGTGTGGAGAAGCTGCGTTGTCGAGGCAGGAATGTTGGGGAGGCCCGAACCCGGGATTGCCCTTCGCGCATCAAAGCGGCCGGACAGGTCCACGCGGAATCGGTGATGGGCGGGCCGGACATTGTGAAGTTTACCTACATAGTCTGGTGTGCGTGTCGGTCCACGACTTGATCACGTTTTTCGGGGTTTCAGAAAGAGTTGAGACGAGTAGAGAGTTCGTTTCGTTTCGACACAAAAGTCGCGTCGGCCACGGGTTCGTGTTTACGCAGCAGCATGGTGCTCTTCTTTTTTTCGCGTCGTTTCGAGACAAAAGGCTTTCCCGTCTCGGCTTGAGGGTCCCAGTGTCACCAACGAACGAGCGAGTCTGTGCGGTTTTGGTTCGAAGTTGGGATGACGAAGACGGGGGCGCCGTTTGGATACATGGCAGTTCAGGGTTTATTTTCTTTCTTCTTTCTCAAGGGTCTAGGAACGAACGCCTGGGGCTCGGGAGGACGAGGTTGGTCGGTTGGGTATGCTTTGCTTGCGTGGTGTTTCTGGCTGGATGGTGTGCAGCAAGAGTCTATGTCGTGCTGGGTTGACGGCAAGAGGTGCGATGCGGAATTCGTCTTTTTGCTCGAGGGGAATTCGGAATGCTGTTTCCAAATCGCATGGTGCATTTGCCTGCGTGAGTTGTAGATGGTCCGGTGATGGAAGTCCGGTTCGAGCTTGAGCTTGTCGTCTTAGGTTTCATGGGATGGTTCTTGTGGTGTTGATGTTGGTTTGTATTCGAAGACCGCGGGTAGGAAAAGCCTGACGAACGATCGATGATCAGTCATGGATTTCTGGAAGTAATTTAGGTGGTTATCTTGTTTCTCTGTGTTTCCGGGGCATTTCATCTCCTGGACCTCACGAAGCAGCAGAAGCTCGGTTGAATCTCTCCCAATAAAACCTGACTACATGACATGGCAAGAAGAAGCTGCCGTGGTGTTCGAAAGACCGAGCTGGTGGCTCTTGCTTCGTCTCAACACCGGGATGAGACTGGCACATTCGTCCGGACATCGTGAAGACTCAACATAAGCATGGTGTCTTTCACTGCGGCTGGTGCCGCCACGGGAGGCGAGGACGTCTGGAGATCATCTCAACGCATGTCGATGCACTTCATTCGGATATCAAGCATTGGTGTTTGTCCCATGTTTTGTCTCTCACGATAGGATAAGTAGGGGTTCAATCTGTCTGGGGAGGTTTTTGCAGTCCGAGCTGGCCTTCACCCACATGTGCAACTTCACGAGAGTAAGTGCTCCATGCTGGCAGAACTTCAGATCAGCTCAGTGCGTACCTGACGCGGGCTATTCGACGATGTGAGTAAATCAGACCAGTCCAGGCTCCAGTGTGGTGATCCGATGGTTTGGCATCAGCGATGACATGAGTTGAGATGGGACTCACTCTGTGGCTGTGGTAAGGCATTATGGGTTACATCACGAGCCTATTTTCAGATTCTTCCATATCACACACAATTGATTCGAGGAATCAGGGGGTTCTTTTCAGTTCTTTCAAAGATCAAATATGGTAGCGAGGTTTCTCAAACGGAAAAGGTCCAGCTTTCGAGTCAGTCACTCATCCACAGGACAATATCGCGAAGAGCTACGAAGAACGAAGTCGAACGAACGAAGATTAAATATCTCAGCCTCGGTTTCAGCTGCATTGCCTATAAATTGCTACGCTACAAGTTCGGGTACCCCGCTCTCAGACGTTGTGTCCTAAAGAAGTGAAGCTGAAGATAGAATGAGGGTATCACAAAACGACCTTCCTATCTCGTCCTCCCCGCAGGCAAGCGACCCCCAAAATAAACCCCGCGATGTCATGAACAGGCACCCGACGAACAGGTTTGAGTAGAGGGCTCAGAATCACAGTTAGATTGCTTTTGCACGACAGAGAGCCGCCGTGATGGTGCCGGATGCGACGCTGCTCGGTCGGCCCGGCTGTGCAGAATCCATGTCGACCTGACTGGTTGAGTACACACTCATTTTGGAAGCTGTTCTTCGCGATGACCTCAAGCCGTTCGCGCCAGCGGCTCCGGGTGTGCTTCGGCCTCATGATACTGTGGCTGAGATTACTTCTCACTCTCCCGCATGTTCTAGCCCGGAAGGCTCACGCCAGCTGGGATAGACGACGCCGCAGAGAAGCCGGCCAAGGTCTGGGGTCGTCTCGCCTGGAGAACTACTGCGAGCTGGTTAGGTTCATGTTGGTGGGAAATTCGGTGCGTCCCACGGGGATGATCTGCACTACCACTCGCACCGTTACAGACGATCTACGAGGTAAAATTGAGGAGCAGTACTAGGTAGCAGGAACGGGAAAGCCACGAGGACTGGGTTTCTGGTGCGAGACATTGCAGCATTGGGTAGATTGGGGGAAAGGGTGGGCGGATGGTTCCCCAGGTCTCACGACTCCACGATTTTATTTTACTTGTCCAGTAACTACGAATGCCGCCGCGCCACGAGCTCGAGGTTGTTCTGGCCATGTGAACAGGGAACATGGTGCTGCCGCCGCCACCTGACTGCCGAGGACGAATGGTTCTGGGTGAGCTAGAATGGTTAGGATGGTCGATCTCCAGGGCTCTTCTATTGAGGAACATTCTCATCGGTTTCCTAGTCGTTCACGTTGAACGCCCAGTCCAGAATGTTGAATTCTTCGGCCGTCGTCTTTAGCTTCAACGCATGAATGTTAATCTCCGCCAGAAGGGGGAAAGGGAGACCAGGATGGTTTGGCGGCTAGACGGCGGCGGCACATGGTGGTCCTGGGCTGCGTTAGTGACATGCAGCTAAAAGTCTAATAGGGGCTGTGGACGAGAGAACAATGGTGGGTGTTACTTGGCGCGATGAGAATTGAATGTCAGTCGAAGGGCCTGGGCATCAGGTACGGATACACGCGAGCATCACAAGAAGCTTGGCGACGGGCTTGTCAGGACTGGGAATGGGATCATCGTTATGCGCAGATAGAGTGCACAGGGGCGGACTGCCGTGTAGCGGTAAGGGGCGAGAACGGACATCAAGTATTTAGACTCAGTGTTTTAATGGTGCGTATACTTACTCATGAGAAGTCATTGTTGAGCGTTTGGTTATGGAAAGGCAGGGATGAGCTGAACAGGAATAAATTCAGTTCGAAGACCGGACGTTTCGAAACGGCAGCACAGCATGGCGAAGACGAAATGTTGTGAAGCTCTGTTTGTTTAGGATACGACCGACCTCGCATCACGGAAAAGCCTCTGCAAAGTGTAATGGGAAAAGCGAATCTGCATCCTGTCATGTTCAGACCTTCACGCTTGCTTGGATGGCCTCAAAGTGCCGTGCCAAGTCTGTCAAAAAGAAGGGGTGCATTTGAACGAAGGATGAGTGTGCATGCGCTGTCAAAGTTCCAGGGGCTTGTCATGTAAGACATGGAGTCAGTAGTAGGCCTCGCCTCACTCAGCAAAGCTTCACTCACTTAGCTCGTCCTCTGCGTGAGTAAAGTAAGTGATGTCACATATGTAGTCAGCCAGGCCGACGTCGATGGCCTCGTCTTCGAGTTCGCATGCATGCCATGCACGTTCTCCCGGGCCCCTCCCGGCGTTTGACAGCGGACATGACTCTCTGTAAGGGGCGCGCAGACGACGCAACGGCTGACATCGTCAGATGGGACCTGGGGTTCTCGGCGGACCCGTGGTTGATTGAGGGGATATCCCATCCCGCCGACCGTGCTGAAGAACTCTGGACATTCGGACGGCCAATAAATCGATCAATAATTATCCCTAAGGCGCGCGGATACTGGCGTATCTTCCGGCTTTCAGAGTTGATGACCCCTGGGTTTCTCAACGTGATGCCGGAGCAGTTGCTCTTTCTGAACGATGTTCCCTTGGAAAATAATCTGGAAATTGGAGGTGTCTTGCTTCTTTGCGACCATGTGACAGCGCTTGGCTCTGGAGAAGGGCCGACCAAAGTCTGGGGCGAAGGGGGTAGTAGTGCAGTAGCCTCAAGATTGGTCACTGGCTGCTAGACGCGACGGTTATCGTAGGGAATGCTGCGCGGGTGACTTTGCTGGTTACCATCACGAGTCCATGGTTGCAGTGCGCATCAGGCTTGATGATCTGTCGAGTCCCATCTTCATGTCTGAGAGGAGGGGGCCCGATGGCAGCCCAAGCTTACATGTAATAGTACAGATGTCAAGCATCGGTATGAACGGACTGAGCAAAGACGGGACGTGTAGGAATCCCGTTGACAACTGTCAAAAGACATGGACGATGCCCATGCTGCTCCATGCGTGGCGTGGCTTCAGTTGACAGGTTGCAGTCGTACGGACGGTATTGCCGCCGTCAAGAAGATTTGAGTCCGTTGAACACCATCACGGCGCCTCCATCTCCAAATGGAACGCCAGACGAATCTTCCAAGTTCATTCTAGGTTGGACAGACCCGAAAGCCAAAGAACACAACCTTGGTTGCCCAACGGCTGGTAGTCGCCAGTCGCTGACGACATCAATTACATTAAGGACACAACGAGGATACTCGCAAGCGCCACCATCTTATTCGAGA